ACAAAATTGAATCTACACTACCTGAGAATGATTCCACACGAGTTTCATATTTCCTGGCTCAGTGGTTCTTGAGAAGTAGATTTTTAAAAGATGCCATTAATTTTTCATTAATTTGTAATTATCTCCCCTTGGAAGAGAGCATGGCCCTTCATTTGAACAAACTTGAATTCCCTTTATCCAAGGATACTCTGTGCCAAGTTTGGTTGAAATTGGTCGAGGAGTTCTGGAGAAGAAGATGAAATTGTGAAAAGTTTACAACGACAATGACGACGACAACGACAAACAATGGACAAATTTCGATCAGAAAAGCTCACTTGAGCCTTTGGCTCAGGTGAACTAAAAATGTTTATACCCGTTACCATGGTAACATTCTTAGTTTGAATTTTTAAATCTTGATTGCAAATGTATATATTTATGTATATTTTGTACCAGCAACGATTTTACATAAACATGTCCTGTAATCTTGATTCTGAGTATCAAAACAGTTGAAATTCCTACAGAGAATCTCTTAACTCTACATAGGTTACATTGGTTGCTATGTGCTCAGAATCGTTGCCATGGGAAAATCAAGTGAAAAATAAAATTTTATAAGATGCTAATTACATTGTAAAATTTGCCTAATCACAATTTTACAGCATGCTTTGAAGAATCCTTAACAACAGGTACATGAAAATGCTAAAATTATTATTCTATGATGTGTTGCTAAGGGGAAATTGCTGTTACCATGGAGATTACAAATTGTAAAACATTCCATAGCTTGCAGAGAGGTCTCAAAAATTTCAATTTATTGTAAAATTTGTTTTGAGTATTCAAAGATAACAAGTTATGTGATTTATGACTTTAGCATTCTACATTTTTTCTCTTTTTATTCATCAAAACATCCATTTTTGTTGCTAGGCAACGGATAGGAATGTTTAAAAATTATACGCTTCTGAATTCAAATTCTAAAAGACAGAATCCTCTGCTTTTATGTTATATACATAGGATGTCTGTATGAGGTCCATCACTGGAGTAATTAGGCATTGAATAATTCCAAAATCAAGGAAAATGCTGAGTCAGCAAAAAAGGAAAAACATGCATATATTCACACATCTATCACAGATATATCTTTAAATCTTATTTCTATATTTTGATTGTGAAGACTGTTAAGATCATTATCTTGAGAATAACAGCAATGAAAAAGAAATTCTTTTAGTATTTACATTTAATTTGAGCCTGAAAGATAAGAGATTTTTTAGTCCATCAAAGCTGAAAATCGGCTGGTTGCTAGGGAAAATTCTTTACCCATGTTTCCATGGTAACCGTGAATCAAAACATTTTTCCTTTTGCATACATGGTTCATAGGGCAAAAGAAAACTATGTGTGGAAAATCATCGAATTCCGAGAACCCTCATATATCACCTGCATGCCTATTTTGCATGATTTTTACAAAGAACTGTACTTAAATATCTGCATCGCTAACGTGAGTTAAATATCCTACGAATAATATCGGATTTTTTTTTTACCTGGTGGGATTGCGTACGCACTTTCCTTTTTTTAGTAAAGCATTCAAACACACAGAACAAAAACTATATATATCAAGAGTTTTAAAGAAAAAAAAAAAAAAAAAAAAAAAAACCAATATAAAACAAGGGCGGAAATTATTGAAAAGTTGTATTTAATTTTCCTTGTAATGAACGCTCTTAAATGAAAATTGTCATTTACGCTTGATATACATTAAGAACTAATAAAAGCAAGAAATATTTTACAAATATTAAACACCATCTTTTCAATAGTATATTAATGTGTTAACGGTAGGGGACCCGCCACAATCACGGAATCAGATATTGGAAATATGTAACACCTGCGTTCAAACTCTTGGAGAAACCATAGCAAATGCGATTTTAATTCCTCTTATATACGTTTACATATTTTTCTTTTCAATTCTAATTTAACTTCATCATGTGCAAGTTTGTTAGAATACGAAGATCATAAAAACTAAAGCACGGTATAGAAATCTGAATGTGACGGCAAATGAAATTTTGACGTCAAGGCTAGCATACTTTAAATCATTTTGTGTACGGCTGTGGAAAACTCTTGTCAAGACCAAACGACATGTTAAAACAATAACAATGCCAAAGAATACGTATAAGGGTTTGCTTTTTATAGGTATATTTTATATCTCACAAATAATTAAGCCAGTAAAAAGAAGAAAAAAATGAAGGCTCCGGACGACCATTGATTATGAGAACCACTGAGAAAGCTTCTGTATAGATATGACTTATCATGTTTATTTAAAGATTTCCTATAAATTCTAAGGTAACAAGTTGATCGCCCATTGTGGCTCCATCGTACATCCCTGGATAATGGTTTGAATAAAAGTAAATTCTATACTATCTGAGAATGCTTCTGTATAAATATGATTAATCAGGGATTTTCTCTTCTTTCGATGAAAAAAAAAAATCCCTATGTATTCTTTGATAAGATTTTCTTTAAACAAGGATTGATTGATTGATTGATTGTATCTTGTATAAATTTTATTTTTCTTTACACGAGGATTGATTGATTGATTGATTGTATGTTGTTTAACGTCCCGTTCGAGAATTCTTCACTCATATATAGACGTCACCATAAACCGGCGAAGGGCTTCAAATTTAGACCTTTACTCGGCACTCATGGCCACTGAGAGGTGAAGGCTCTTTATCGTGCCAACGCCTGCCGTGACACGGGACCTTGGTTTTTCAGGTCTCATCCAAAGGACAAGCAACCTTCACTTCAAAGTACCGAGCGCTTAGCAAAGGAACAGCTGTAACTTTTTTTATCGATTCGAACAGACGACCTTCCGATCACAGAGCGAGCGCTGTAAAGACTGAGCTACCGTGACGGCCTTAACACAAGAAAGTTTTGTAGTTAGTTTGGTTGAAATTGGTCCATTTCTCTTTAACAATAAGTCCAAAATGTTAAAAGTGTACTGACAAACGAACGGACAGACAAAGAGACGTTTAACAATATGTCATCAGAATAGCTGCGCAGGTAGGTTAAGGCTTCCCGTAGAATATTACAGTGCACTCTGTGCCTTCACATCTCTGAACTACCAAAATATGACGTCATAATGGAAAATGACGTCAAGTCACTGCAAACTTGAGGTGTTATGACGGGGAGAGTGTCATAAACTTTACACTTTATTTCAAACTGTATGTAAAATGCTAGATAGCTATTGCAAAATTCACAGGTCGTTACAGGTTTTTTAAGTCTTATATGTCCGAATATTTTAAAAATACACCGCTTACCTACCCTTGATTGAAATTCAGCATGTTCAAAATGCTTATGAAAAATATACTTTTGAAATGTACTCTGTTTTATACCCGTGGTTGGAGGTAGAATTTATTTTGTGTGTATAAAAGAGTCTGGCGCAGGTGATTAATGAGGATTAATCTGAGAATTTTTGTGGAAATCTGTAAGAAGAGGTTGTTCTCTAACTGAATCTTGCTTGGGAAAAATGTGTGTTGGCTTTGTTTTAATACAGATTACGATACTGTGTGGAAGATACCCTCAAATTTGTAGGTAAGTTGAATTTCTCAGGAAATATTTTGTATCTAAGTAATACTATGACTTTTCCCAAGCACATTTCGGATACACAAGGATACGATGAGTTTATTTATATAACAAAATGTTAATAATTATTGTGTTAATCACCTGCGCCGAAGCGATTTATTTGAAACACTTCAAAAAATTATAAATGACCGTCACGCGATCAACAAAGTCATGTGATACCATAACAAATATGTTAATATATAGCCGAGGAAACTCTCTATATGAATTGGAAGTACTTAAGTTCAATACTTATAAATTAAAACCAAAACCGACCTCACAATGACATATTATGTTTTAAGCGCGTTTAAAAGCTTCGGGAAGCCTTAACATAGCTGCATGATTTAAGCTTTATCACAGTTCGGCTTGTAGGGGGTAAAACCCATTGGGAATCACCATATCCTGTTTGCGCAAATAATAAAAATTAATTAAAGCACAACTGCTTCACATTGGTGTAAAAATATAAGTACAAGTATGTATTTCAGAATCATATACCAATGAGAACCCATAATGATAGTAAACAGGACAGACACTTTCCCGCACAACTCCCACCTACTGCATTCAAACGACTATAAGTAAAAGAAGGAAAAGCGATATTTGGATACTGAAACTTAAATTATATCCTTAACGAATGTCAACTGTATTCGCTAATGCACGAGCCTTGTTTTTTTGATAAGTTGAGGAGACTGTGCATATTCTTTCTGTCATTTTTTAATCATTAGTGGCAGCATTTTTACCTCTAATGAAAAAATGTTAACACAATTATGTAAATGTTTTATCATTAATGCTAAGGTGGTGTATCATTAATGTAATGATTTTATCATTAGAAAACAAAAATCCATTCACTTATTAAATCCAACATTCTATTGTTAGTCAAATTCATTATCATTGTCAATGTCCTTATCATTAATGGTTGATACAATGCTGCTAAACTTAGTTTGTCATAAAAGTTACTTTTATTGCACAATCCCTCTTTCAAAGAAGGTTTTCACATAAACTGTTATATTCTTTATGCCCTATAGGAAATGCAATGAAAATGTTTATCTTCCACATACAATGACATAAGATAAATAAATTATAAGTTGAAAACATGCTTTATAAGAGCACATCAAGTCAAATATTTATGAGAATGACATTTTGTTTATTTTGAAAGAATATTTTCTTTTTCACGTATGAATTAAAATTTTGTTAATGATAAAAGCGTTTATTATTAAATTCATAAAACATAATAATCCTACAATTAAGGTATGCAAATGTTACAATGCAACGAATATTGTCTATTTTTTCAACTCAAAATCCTAGCCCTAAACCATATCTCTAATCAGTTTTCATCCTTTAAGGTTACAAATAACTTTAATAATGTACAATACAAAAGGTATGATGTTTTTCACCGGTATTGTTGGCAGTTACAGTGTGATATAAATATAGTGATGAGCTTTACAATTTTATTATTATTATGTGTAAGTCTCTTTTTGATGAAATATGCTTCTATTGATTAGAGTATATGTTTTCTGTGCCTCTCTGTATGTGATCATCCACGGCCTTGAAGATGAGTCCATATTCTTCCTGTAAGCAAACCCGTTGATACTGAAATATATTGCTGTTTTTGAAATTATGCTACTTTATATTGTTTTGTTGGTATAAAAAACAGTATTTGGTTTTTGAGATGTTTTGTTTCCGATTTATACACTGTAAACAAACATTTAAGAAATATTGCGACTGTATACTACTCGCAATTATTCCTCTCTGCGAACTACATTTATTTCATTGTGTACACAGAACAATTCCTCAGTTGCATAATTTCATCCACATGATTTCAAACTGAGAAATCGTAAATGAAATAATAGCGAATAATAATTGGTGTCTGGTTTTTTTTCGCGCTCAACGAATGTACCGTAAAAGTTAAGCCATTGTGAATATTGTTGAATATTGTTGAGTTAGTTATTGGATACATTGTACATTTATGTTAAATAATTATCCATAACTTTCTTTGTTTTCAAAAATGGTATATAGCATTCCGAAAAAAAAAGAAAATTGCAGAAAGTGAAATGAAAATCACTGTGAAATGTACCAAAAAAGGTGAAAAAATGTGAAATATCATACACTTGAAATTAAAGTTGTTCACAGTTAATAGCCCTTATTTCCCTCTTTTTTTTTTTTTTTTTTTTTTTTTTTTTTTTTTTTTTTTGCGCATTCAAACGAATCATTGAATTAATTAAAACTGTGCTATTGAATAGCGTTTGGTGTATACATACATCTAATATCTAAGATGAATATTATTGTTCTTGTAAGATATTATATGATAAGTTTAATAGGTCTTACAAGACTTGAACAGAACTTGGGCCTTCGAATTTGAAGTTGTCTGACGGAGGTAAAAACATCCACGTTTGTATCCATGTTTGTTTGTTGAATCACGTTATGAACAGCACAAAAGGCACCACAGAGGGAAGCTCCATCGCTACAAGGCAAAATATTTTTCATTTAAAGAAACCATTAGAATTTCAGATTTCTTTTCTAATAGACGTACGCGTGCACTCATTGGTAAAATTAGAAATTTCCCGTCAAATCCATATACTGAATTTTATTTACTTATTAAAAAGATGTCCAATATACGTTTCTAAAAGAATGGTAAGATTTGCCTTCACCTATTTAAATGCATTCTTAAAATTAATATGAAACCTGCTGACAACGATGACAGGGTTTTCCTTCTCCACACTAAGAGCGACAGAAACCAGACATCGAAGCTGGGAAGTATCCAGAGGTGTTCCGAAAGTTTTGATGCTAGACCTTGGTTCTATTACTGTTACTGTCCGAGTCATTTTGCTTTGCAGAAAGTAAACATTTGTTTTACATTTTATTTTCCTTTTCTGTTTATTTATTGAGCCTCTAACTAAATTAAACAAGAGGCCCATGGGCCACATAGCTCACCTGAGCACACTGGCTAGGAAAAAGCAGAAATCAGTTCAGTATTTTGAAAAGTTTTAAGGAGGAGGGGGCAAGCCTAAATTTACACTTCTTCAGGATGCTTCTATATCAATATTACTAATCATGACTTTGCTGTTCTTAAACAGAAGAATTTTGAATATTTTTTCCCTATGTATTCCTTTGTAAAACTCAAATTGAGCATAGTGGCCCCACCCTACCCACCGTAAATTAGAACAAATTTGAATCTACACTACAGTGCCTGCAACATTATTGTTGACAACTTACACGAACGATCACGTTACACGAACGATTCCGCACGATTAACGCACGATTAAACCTGTTACACGAACGATCCTTCACGCACACGATTCTACTCGTTACACGATCTTTCACGATTGCTAACGCAAACGCACGATTCTTTACGCAAAATATTAAAAATATTTAGGAGTGGATATTTTCAAAAACGAAAAATTACGACTTACTAATTGTATACTAATTGTAAAGTTATTTTATATTACAAATAATTATTGGTGCAATTTATCGACTTTTGAAAAAAAACTATTTAGAATGGATTTTTTAAACTAAATAATTTGCAATCGTTATTTAAGATTACAAATAATTATTTATGTAATTCTCCCACATAGGAAAAGTGATTTTTGAAAGCTTTTCGATACGTACAGATGTAATTTATGATCGATTGCTGCATATCCTTTTAAGGCCGTGAACATGGAGAGTTTTGATTCTATTGATTTTTTTCATATGCGGTAAGGGCGGGTAACATTAAAAAAAAAAATGAATTAAAACTATATCCATCATTAATATTTATTTAAGCATTGGGAATTATTTATTATTTTTTGTAAAGATATACTTTTTTAATGCATTGATATAAAAAAATATCTTGAACTATAATTAGCAGTAAACATAACTAACATCAGAGGGAAATTCATTCTTAAAATGCTATTTTAGGAGAATACAATACTGTACAACTTACTATATTGCTTACTTACTAGCGATAGTTAGTTCGTTCAATATTGTAAACAGAGCTCCATTTTTTTTTTTCTTATTTCAATTAAGACAGCCAATCGAAATGCTTGTTTAACAAATAAACTAAATGCTGAGAAGAAGTCAGTGATTAAAATGTAAAACTCTTCAGGCAACCTTATTTTAGAATGTATACCCCCCCCCCCCCCCAAAAAAAAAAAAAAGAAAAGAATTGTATTTCCCTTCTTGTGAAAGTTTGGCCTATTATGCGATAATTATTTTGATTACTTTAGAAGGAATAAATTGAAGTACCCCAGCTTTTCCCAATAGTTAAATCTTACATACAGATTCAATCTCATCCAGTGGGTCCATACAAATTATAGTGTCAGACTCGTGCTCATTGAGCAAGCGCAGGAAGTCTACAGCGATCTCTGTCGATGGATACTGCGTTACAATAAACGCCCAACTGTTTGTGAATGACTAAAGAAGAAAAAAAGAAAACGGGAAAAAAGTAACTATTTTGCAACGTTACAAAAATAATTTGTAAAATGATGAAAACAAAGATATGATCAGACATTATTCTTTATTCATTGTTGATTTTTTTTTTTTTTGTTTTTTTTTTTTTTTTTTTTTTTGTTTTTTGCTTCATTTTATCAAAGTACATGTTACCTATTTCACTGTAAACATTGGCAACATGAACAAATACATAATGAATATTTTTTTGCATCAATTGGTTTGTCATTTCTTACTGGTACGTATATTGCATTGATGAAACTTCCTCGATTCTGAACAGGTGTTGAAAGATGAACACTATATTTATCCACTATTCAAAAAATAATAATGATAAATTATGTGCCTTGTCAGATTTACCAATTCGGAAGTCAAGCTACTAGACTCTTATGCAGATAAAAGATTAAAATTAAAATACATTTTTTTTTTTCGAATCGAGATATTAATGACAAATTTAATGGGATCTTTCATAAGACTTGAATTGACCATTTTCAAAAAAAAAAAAAAAAAAAAAAAAAAAAAAAAAAAAAAAAATCTAGACTAAATAGCGAGCCCAATATCTTCAATCTGTGTCGATTAAGAATATGTTCAAATTGTCAACTGGAAGACCTTTTTCCCGTGCTTCTATCCGTTTTCTTCCAGTTAAACTAAATAATGTGTTTATGCTGTTGAAGGTAGTCTTTACTAGTTTAACGTGAAAACTAGAACCAATACTTACGATATCCTTGGGTACAATTGATTGTAAATACGATAAACCATATTATTGCACTTTCGAACATCCCATCACAAAAAAATCATCTCATTTGACAAAAGGGTAGCAATAATTGCCTTCAACGCATAAAACAAACAATTGTCAATTGACCAGATGATGCTTTACATTTTCAATACTACATAAAATGATGTCAATATTTTATCAACTCAAAGCCTTTTAAATTTAAGAAAAAACCTCAGTCAACCACTTACTAGATAAGATTATTGTTCCTAATATGATTTTGAAGCTTTAAGATTATTGTTCTAAAACTGTTTTGAGCACTCAGATGTGTGAATTACATAATTACATAATGTAACTTCTTCAAGATATTTGGGATAATATGTAGTCGTTCTATTTTTATCGTTTGTATAATGAATATTATGTGTGGATTTTCATGAATATATCAATATCGTATATGAAAAAAAAAAATAAAAATAAATAAAATAAAAAAACTGAAATACAATACAAAATAAATTAACTTTAAGATTATTAGGAAATAAATGATTACATTGTTAAAGAATTCCAGTGTTCTTTTTAACACTAAAGGTTAAAATTGTTGTACCTTATAAAGTAAGTGATTGCGAAATCAATAACTATACAGTCCTCTAAACATAAAAGTCAAGAGCGTAAGTGCACATCTATATGTTGTGGTATTCGGTACATTAAAAAAGTGTATAGCATAATATCCAAGTATATATTACATGTAGCTTGCATTATGGGGACTTTTGTGTACCTTTTAACCTTCAAAAATGGATTTCTTTAATACTTGTGTTGAATACATATTCATAAAATAATTGTAATCCCTCTTTATTACCATTTATGTCATCTGAATCACGGGACTCTTCATAATGATAATAATAATAATAATAATAATAATAATAATAATAATAAATACAAAATAAATAAATACATGAAAATAAATAAATAGAAAATACAACTATTCCATTTTTTGGAAAAAAGTTTTGTTATTCCCTACTTTAAATTTTCTTTGGTGTTTTTGATTTTTTTATGCAAATGTCTAATAAATGCTCTTTTATGAGCATTATCTGATCAAATTGCTTTTAACCATTTACTTATTTAAAAAAAATGAACTAAAATTTAGGCAATGTGTACTTTTATATTAATATGTATGGTCATATTCTGTTAATGTTTAAAGTGGTCTTCATAAATTAAAGCATATAATATATAATGCAAGCAGTCACAGTTAAATGTTGCAGATGGCTTGTCCTGACAACATCGTGATTTTCAAAATCTTGAAAAAATATCAAACATGATTTGGAAAAATACAATGTTTTATTGAACATTCAGTGAATACTTAGAAAAGGACTCACCATGCCTATTACCGTCTGTGAATGACAGAGAATTTTCATGAAAACAAAATTCAAGAAACATGTATAAAATAAAAACAGTCGTTATGCAATAAGAGGAAGTCAAGTTAATGCATGAGCAGATGTGAGATTGTTATTTTACTGCGTAGTCATATATTGTCATATAGTGCCATACTAAAATGAAGTTTTGACAAGCACCCTTTGATAAAGTGTTACTGTAGTCTCTTTCTCATTAAAAGCTCCTTTATTTTTGTTTTATCAATTCTTAACAACAATAAGGAAGAGCATTGCAGTGAAATGCTTGTTAAAAAGTTTACTTTATATATATATATATATATATATATATATATATATATATATATATATATATATATATATATATATATATATATATATATATATATATATATATATATATATATATATATATATATATTCATTTAAGCAAAATTGTTTTCTGGCTTTGTGGCGTATTAAGATTTTGAACAAGTTATGTACTAGAATGAGTTAGCACCCAAACAAGGTACTTGTATTGAGTCCAAATAAGATGGCGAATCAGAGTATAAGATGATGTTACACAATTATCATTCTTAAATATAAGGAATGCGTGAATGATAAAAATCAAAGAACATAAATTTTCTTTATCTGGGTAAAATAAATTACAATTTTGATAAGTTCATAATGAAACAATCATTAAACATTATGACAGGAAGCATATACTTCCAACAAACAGATTTTCTCGACTTTAATACTAACATAAAAATGCCAAACAATGTTTCTGTTTTACACGCTAAGTAAGGGCATGAATACAGTTTTTATGCATGTGTTTAAAATGAGTTATACAATACTATCAGTTTTTTAACACAATAAGTACTTTCTTATTTATATAATTTCAATTTATTTTTTTTTAATTCGTCTTTTGGTTAATAATAATGTAAGTAAAATTTAAATTTAGGGAAACAGGAATTCTACGAAGTACTACTCTTCTAAATGCAAGGAGTGGTAAAGATGTATATAAACATAATATATAATCATGGTAATAGAGTTTGAAGGGATACATAATTAAATATTCACATATTCCAATGTTGTTGTCCGAGATAAAACTAAAAATAATGTAATAGATTTATTACCTCATAAAGCGATTTCCAGAGCAAGTCAAGGAACTGAATGCTATCTATTGCTGTGTGTTGCTTAGTTATACATCCGGCGGAGATGCTGAGATTTCTAACTTTTGAATAAATTTTATTTTTAATTGAATCAAAAAGCAGGTAAAATTTATATATAAAGAAATACTGCAGACAGGTTTAAGGTTTTATGATGATGATCATTCAATTTTCTCGCGTGAAAATTTTACGCACAAATGCCTTCGGATTTATCACCACATTAAAAAGACCAAGACATTTACCCTTAACGTAATGAAATTAATAAAATTAAAATCAATCTTTTACTACAAGTTTATTTCGTGCTTTATGTGTCGTACTTTTTTTAAGCTTAAAAAAATATTTCCTCCTCGGAAAAATGCTTCCTGAATAAAGTTTTAAAATTAATTGGTATACCGGACTTAATTTACATGCACAAGGCGAAAACATTTTCAAAGTACGTAAAATGATGACGTCACTGGCAATTTGAATTGAAAAAAACAACACCGTTGAGTGTCCAATTATTAAACGTAGAGTATAACCCACAATTTCTTTTCATCAAATGTACTTTTGTCAAAATGTTCTTTTATTTCGCGGAATGTTTGTACCCTTCTAGACCCATTATGCAAGCTTTATCTCTTTATACCTAATGGTGTTATATAGTGTTATATATTTACAGCTTTTTGAGGCAGCAGCTTAGCGTATCGGTCAAGCTTCATGCAGAATTGAATCAACATCTGTATTGCTTGTATTTCAGTTTTCCATGAGTAAAAGACTTCTCAGCTACGTTATTGAAGACGTGAATTCTCATGTGTGTATGATAAAATTTCATTTGAAGTCAATAAACACGTCAATAAAAATTTACAAGGTAACAAAAATCAATTAAAGTACATGATGGTGCGTAACAACAAACATACATTTATTTTATCCATTATTTATTCGATCATGCAAAATCACACCAATGAATAACAATGCTTTTGAGTAATAATAAACAAGTCATGTGTTATAAATGACGTAACTATAATTGACTTGACGGAGTACAAGTGATCCAGAGAAGTTGATGGTCTAATAATTACAAGAATACTTAATTTAATCAAATTTACAATTCTTGTCAAGTTTTAAATAAAATCTATAAAACTAAAATCGAATCATTTATTTAATACAATACAGATAATCAACCGATATATACCTTTTAAAAATTTAAAGAAAATCGCAAGGACGATAAGCGTATTCCCAATTAATCCTAAAAGTGCACAGGCATAAGCTAGACTGTTTGAGCTGAAATATGAAATATTAATTGCTTATATTATGTATTTTTTCAAAAGTGATGGGAGCTGATTGTTGTCTTTAAAATGTTATTTTTATGCAATACAGAATTTAAGCGAAAATGGTATATATAGCAATTGCATGCATTTTCCACATAATTACGGATACTCTAAAAAATCAGAGAGTTACATTGTACTCCCAGCACTTTTTTTAGGTAGATGATGTTGACATCTTTTTAATATTCAAATTTTATTTCCAGAAACATATGTATGCCCTTGCAATAGGGTCATTTTCAACATTCAACATAACATACTGTATATTCTTCTTCTTTTTTTTCAAGAGTACTTGTTATCGCGAGATACCTCTTTAACGTAAAATCGCGAGAACAATAATTCGCGAGTGGACTGGATTTTATATTGATTTCATCACCTTAAAAATAAAAGCGAGATATTTTATTTGGCGGAATTACGCAATAATTAATTCCTCTCGTATATTTAGGAATCTACAGTATCTATTAAATACAAGTCATTTGACAAACAGCTGATACAAGCCCTGTATTGTAACATGTGCTAAGTACGACACAAACAATTCTTTCTATATATTTATGCATTCATATGTCCACAGTTGTGAGCATTACAGTATTAATTCAAGCCTCTGTTGAAATACACTTTTATTGATTGAAGTATATGTTTTCAGTGCCTCTCTGTATGTGGTCATACACAGCCTTGATGACCAATCTGTATTCTTCCTGTAAACAAACACGTATGAATATTCAATTATCAATAGAAACATATTGCTGTTTTTTTTGAAAATATACTGCTTCAGCTTATTTTGCAGGTATCAAAGTGAAACAGAATTGTGTATTTGAGATGATTTGTAACAGATTTATATACTGTAAACAAACTTTTGTTTCAGACTTACGAACTTTAGCAAAACTTTTGTTTCAGATTTATGAACTGTTAACAAATTTTTGTTTGCGTCCAAGAAGTATCGCGTCTGTCTTCCATTCATTTCATTTTCTACTTACACAGAATAATTCCTCAGTTGCAAAAATTCTTCGTCATGATTTCAGTCGATAAATCATGAATAAAATAAGGGCGAATAATCGTTGGTTGACAGTATATTGATAACTTTAAGAAAACAGCCTCTTCAGACATTTTTTTTTTATTTTTTACATGATGTAAAGAATCAAAAATAAAGTGCACAGTCATATAGCGAAGTAAAACTGCTCTTCTGAGCAACGACTGGTGTGTACATACATCTAATAAACTATTATGATTATCAGAGTTTGTGTGAAAAAAAAAGATAATTTCGATAGGACTTACAATACTGGAGCAGAATTCAGGTCTTCGAATTTGAAGTTGTCTTACTGAAGTAAAAACGTCCACGTTTGTATCCATGTTTATTTGTTGAATCACGTTATGAACTGCACAAAAGGCACCACAAATGGTAGCTCCATCACTACAAGGCAAATCGACATTTGATTTTAAAAAAATAACAATATCTAATTTAAATCACTTCTCTTAATAAAAGTCAGCACTCATTTAGTAGAAATAGGAATGATAAAAAAAAATGGAGCTTGCTTTCAAGAACTTAGGAAATTTCCAATCAAAACGGTATATTGAATTTAATTTAGTAATCAAAAACATTTTTGATCATTGTTTCTAAAAAGGTGGTTAGATTTGTATTCATATGTACGTTCGTAAAATTTATATCAAACCTGCTGACAACGATGACAGGATTTTCTCTATCCACACTAAGAGCAACAGAAACCAGGCTTCGAAGCTGAGAAGTATCTAGAGGAGTTCCGGAAAAGTTGATGCTAAACCTTGGTTCTATAACAGTCACTGTGTGAGACTTTTTACTCTACAGAAAATTAACACTTTTTGTCCCCTACATGTGAAACTGGAGGGAGAATACAATTGTTTTCCTCTTACACTTGCCGGTAGGGGACTTGTTTTGCTAATGCAATATTCTCAGAATGCTTGTTTAAAATTTCATTATCATTTCACTTTTTGAAATACTAATAAGATACCAATAATATATATATATATATATATATATATATATATATATATATATATATATATATATATATATATATATATATATATATATATATAAAGAGAGAGAAAGAGGAGGGGGGGGGCAGACAGATGAGAGATACAGAGAGAGAGGATCAAGGCAACAACCATAGTGCAACCTGTTGTTAATTTACATTTTTCTGCCTTATAAGAATTATCGAGCTGCTGACGTCAGTTTCAGATTTTGATTGAAATTGGATGGTGAAGGGATTAGCAGATTTGGAAGAGTTGGTATGACTTGGTACCCATGTCTTACTCTAGAAGGTAAAAAAAATATATATGACTATCATCGTTGAAAAGGTCTCATTTTTATGCATTCGATGACCATTGAGATTCTATAATCAACATTTATTTAAGCTTTCTTTTTATCTGAATCGGGAACATTGCATTACATAATGTTCATATATATATATATATATATATATATATATATATATATATATATATATATATATATATATATATATATATATATATATATATATATATTAGAAAATGAAAATAATATAAAAAAAGTAGCATATAATTCACATTTTGCAGAGTGGGCTATGTTCTAAGATAGAATTTTAGCGACTAAGAACGGTGTCGGTCGTTTCACTCCTTCCATACCGCTTTAATAGCTAAAATTTTACTTAATATAACTTTTATGCACTTTAGCCTAAAAAAGTTGATCCAGAATTTTTCTCTCTATATTTGATTGTGTGGATATGGACTATTGTGAGGCATAAAAAATGCGATTTTTACTATAGCTGGCGGAGGAATAAATTGAATTACCTAAGTTTTCTTATATATAATTCACGCTTACATACCGATTCAATCCCACTCAGTGGATCCAAACAGATGACAGTGTTCGACTCTTGCTCACTGACCAGGCGCAGGAAGTCAACAGTGTCCTCTGCTTGCGGATAGTGCGTTACAATAAACGCCTTATTGTTGATGAATGACTAGAAATAACAACGTATTTTTTTAGTATAGTTAAAATAAGATTTTTGTTAATGTCGAAAATCTTGATCAGACATAATTTCCTCATTCATCTGAGAAATAATTATCTCGCCTAAAGGTAATCAAGTATCTGTTGCGAATTTGACCCTAAAATATTCTCAACATGAATAAAATAATATAAGTATTGGTTATTTTACATTAATTGGAATACATTCTTACCGGTACATATATTGCATTGATGAAACTTCCTCGATTCGGAACAGGGGCTGAGAGATGAACACTGCATTTATCCACTGTTAAAAAGGGAACAAAAGAAAATAATTGGCCTCCAATGTGAACAAATGAGATTTGCAAGCCTGTTTTCTGAATGAATATTGTCCTCGAAAAGATATCTTTAAATACGGTAACTTTATTCAGTAATGTATAACATATAAATATTTAGTTTGAATTTAATCACACGTACATTATTTGCAATAAGGATAAGAACAATCCATTCCATTTTTTAACATATATAAGAAGAATAGATATTGCCATATACTTACAAGGCAATACACCTGTGAAATGTCCGACCTTACAAATTTCTTTGGCAATCATAAAGTCAGTGTCAGTGTATACTGGTCGCATCTTCATCAAAAGCTTAATTCACAAAGTAATGAAGATATTTATCAAGACAAGATTAGGCAATAAATTCTATTTTCAGATCAACTTGCACATTAAAAATAAAAAGATCATTTTAAACAAGAGCATGATTATGTATGGGATCATCAACTAAGTTCAAAAGTTGATGGAAAGAAATTGAACAGAAACTAACTATTTTACAAAAAAGGACTGGTTAACATATGTTAGATTCCGCACATTTCCACTAGATCTCTAAACAAAAAGCTGAATTAGAGGGAAATGATTTTAAATGATTTATTTTTAATCGGATAATAAATCCCTGTAAAACACTTCTATTTCTTTTAAGTGTAAGAAAAAGAATGTCGATATTTTCATAAATCATGTAACTTACTCACCTATTTTGACTATAAAAATAAAGATTTAAATCAAATCAAATTTTGTGAAGGTCATACTCAAGGTACCTGTACATGTTACTTCTCCAAGATATTTTTATTTCAAAATCTTAGTACAATTCATAAAAAAAAGAAAACAAAAGAAAACAAACATACATACATAGAAAGAGTTTTGGACAGATATCAAATAATGAAAATCCTTTTTCTTCTCTTTTCATTAAGTAAGTATTTTTTAGTTGTTGTTTTTTTTTTGTTTTTTTTTTTTTTGTTTTTTTTTTCATCAAAATTTGATTTAGAAAAGGTGCTCAGCATTACCAGACATCAGAGAAAAACCATTCAAAGGTACATCAATTATCAAAACTTACAAATACAGGGAAAAAGAAAAAAAATAAAACTATTTAGAGGATCCTCTACAATTTGTCTCTAAACAGTTGTACGTGTACATTTTATTGATCACAACGAATTAGAACTTTAAATACTTACAAAACAATAACTGGCAGTACATTATAAACATATTTTAATCAATGTCATCAAAAATAGAGAGTTATTTTCTGTGATTTCCATTTTTCATTGCAATTCTTGAACACTTTTTCCCCTAATTCCTTTCCACTGGGGGGGGGGGGGGGGTTGGAAATTTCATTGAGCAATACTTAACGCAGTATACTCAAGCATATTTACACTTTTAGAGTAGATGAACGTCGTTAAAGTGTGTTTGTGACGTAATGATAAATTGAAGTTCTTTAAGAGGGGGTCATGAATAATATTATGACAGAAAAAATATGAAATGTGTTCTTATGAGTTTTCAAACACAGGAATTTAAAAATAAAAAAAATTCTGATATATTTATTATTAAATCATTAGCACCTGTCATATTTTGTAGTAGCCATAAAATAAAGATTTTTTTAAAAAAATAATTTTGAGATGCCTCTTTAAGAAACTAGACGATAGAATTGTGTGTTTCTAACATACAATGTACAATTTAGTATTGCTCATCATATATTACAATTTGAGGAAAAAGTCTATTGTAGGATTTTTAAAATTTGCCTTGAAATGCAATTAAAAAAAGTTTTCCATATAGTCCTATAGTAATTATATCTGTGTTTTGAGACTTTGAGACCGTCCTTAAAATAACCACACTATAGATTTTCCCTAACCTTGGCACGTTTACTGAAGTCAATGTAAGTTACATATGGTATACAATTAAAGAAATGACTACTGTAGTTTTTACGCAATAAAACTACAGTGGGCTCCTTAAATATTTTTTTTATTTGGTTACCTGAAATTCTTTTCGTAAAAAACTCCGATTGGCTGGTTTATCTGTCTTCATTGTTTCGACCTTTTTTGCAAAGTCTTCGATAGTATTGATGTTAACTGGTGACTTAAATATTTCATTCAAAGCCAGAAAAATCGTCATGTACTGTTCCTGAATGAGGAAAAAAGTGTTGATAAAACTTGATTAAGAAAAAGAAAACGATTTGTCTTGTTTTCGTAATGAATTAACTTGCAGAGAAGTTCCTTGGTCAGTTTAAAACAAAATAATTTTTTTTAAATAATAGTGAGGGGAAAATGAAATGTTACATCATCGACAATATGTGACGTATACTGAAAAAAAAAATTAAACAGGAAGAAAAAAATATGAAAATATTGAGCAGGAAAAAAATGTCACCACAGAGACTTCATAATATGAACAAGAGGCCCAAGAGCCTTAACTGTCACCTGAGTATAATACAACAATTTAGAGGATCCATAGAGTATAAAATGAACTGAAAGGTGAAGCTTTGTTGCCCAAAAGCAAGAAAAATAGGGTGATCAGGATCAACAAAATAATTAATCTAGAGTTCATTAACAGTTCATAAATTAGTTCTTATCTGTTCCCCATTTATCACTATCACCAAACAGTATATTAACAAACTATCAAACTATCAGTGCTTCTGTAAAATTCTAATTCCTTGTTGAAATCTCTTACTTTGATGAACATTTAAAAAGACAAGTTGTTTTTGTCTCATTTTTATTTATCTATTACTTACAAGTCTACCTGATCATTAAAACTATGAAAGTACTTTTTGTATTATACAATAAAAATTCTTGCATAATTCTCTTATTCTATTAACCTTTCATGTACATTATTTACAGTGATTAATTATCAAGAGTAAATGGCAAAGGGGAATAACTCCTCTCAGTAGAGTACAAATTAATAGAGCCCTGGGCAGGACCAGAACACTTGACCAAATGGTCGAGATGTTCAAAAAATCTGGTAAAAATACTCTTCCTTATTAAAACTTTTACTCTCTTTGCCTCTGATATGCCCAAGTGCAGAGAAGAGTTTTAAAGAAATAATGTATTTTTATTACAGATTCACTATATTATCAATAGACACCCCCCCCCCCTCCCCAGCGAGAAACACCAGAGCCTCTCACCCTAGGGCCAGAAGTTTGCTCATCATAAGTAATCACTTTGTTTATCTGCTTAACACTAAGAGCAGGCAGGATTATTTTAATAGGATAAATGCATTTTCACAACATAATCAAAAGCCCCACCCCTACACCAGCACATTTGACCCAGGGGTCATGCAATTCACTACTATGGAAGAAGCACTCTTACTCATCATAACTATACACTGAGCTTCTTTGCTTTTTAACCAGGAGCAGAAGAGAATATTTTCAAAAAAAAATTTGCTTTTTCACTATATAATCAATAGAGCCCCCCTCCCCCCTTTTCACCAGAACTCTTGACCCTGGGGCCATAAAATTCAAAATTTTGGAAGAGGCATTCCTTGCTTATCATAACAATGTACTTAATTTGCTTAAATAATAAAGATTTTCAAAGAAATAATGCACTTTCACTATATGATCTATATAGCCCCACCCTAGCACCAGAACCCCTGACCCTGGGGCTATGAATTTCACAATTTTGGTAGAGTCGCTCTTGCTTATCATAACTATATATTTAATTTGTTTAAATAATACCCAGGAGTAGAGAAGATTTTCAAAGAAATAATGCACTTTCATTTTATGATCTAAATAGCCCCGCCCTAGCACTAGAACCCCTGACCCTGGGGCCATGAATTTCATAATTTTGGTAGAGGGCTCAATGCGTATTACAATTATCATGCCAACAGTTTGACTGCTTGATGTCCAGGAGTAAAGAAGATTTGTAAAGATAACACTAAATTTGATGGTTTTAGCCCCACCCCTCACGCCCGGGGGGGGGGGGAGGGGGGCAGGGACCATGAAATTCACAATTTTTGTACCCCTTAATCCATTGATGCTATATGCCAAAATTGGTTGAAATTGGCACAGTGGTTCAAGAGAAGAAGCTGAAAATGTTCAAAAGTTTACGACCGACGGACGACGTATGACGGACAACGACGGACGAAAACAGATAGCAATAGGTCACCTGAGCGACTCAGGTGACCTAAAAATTGAAAAAGGGTGAGGGTTCATATCCCCAAGTGCCCATAAATTAAATGACCTGAAATGTTTTCTTTTTAATATCGTTTGATATGCATTTGAAATGTAGATTATACATTTCTCATTAAGGAGCAATCAATACCTCACTTAAATATATGAATAACTCAAGAAAAGAAGGGAAAAACAATAAAATGCAAGGCAATACACATAAAGCAAAAGTATTTTTAAAAAAGTTAAATAAAATGATTGTATAAAGAAATGATGAAATTAATTAATAATTACATAAATAGATGCAGAAAAAAAGCATTTAAGGTACATTGTTTGTCAAGGAACAAAAATTACGTAGGTTTGGACCATATTCATCCTGTTTTCTCTCATCTTTTTGACATATTCTGCTACGTTAACTTTCTTTCTCTTTCGCCCTTTTCGTTCCAGAGCGTCCAACGCTATATATGTCCCCGTTCTACCTATTCCTGCACTATAACAATAAAACAATATAATTGCATTAATCATACATAAAGATTTGACGAGGCCATTTTATAGATTCCTCGAAGTATGTTTGGGTATTTGTTTCACAGATTTCTAGTCTATATTCTCTATTGCCATGTTAATTCTATTTTTAGCAGAAATAGTCAGGCTGACGGTTTGTTTGAAAATTTAAAGAGGATCATCCTCCGATATTCTGCTTTATAATTCAACAACTGATTAAGTTTGAGCCATCCAGAAACATTAAAATGAAACATAATAATAATAAAATATCTCAAGACATCTTATATGTTATAACATATCAAAGATAGAAAACATAAGATTATGTTCATTATTTTAAAATCTCGACTCTAATAGTAATGCATTGTTTCAATAAAAGAACACTTGGTTTGTAATATTTTATTTATATCTACCGTAATATATAATATTAATCTAAGCTTGTATTTAAGTATTGGTAAACATCATTTGCCAAAATGTACCTGCAGTGTACAATTGTTGGAGAGTTATTCTGATTGGTTCCTGTTCTCGTCACGTGATCAAGAAAGACAACAAGACAAAGGGGATCCGGTGTTCCATGGTCTGGCCACGCCGTGTAATGGTATTGAGTCACCGTCCGTGATTCCTTTGACTACAGTAATGAATGGGATAATAGTTGGAATTGAAAAAAAAACACACACACACACAGACACACACACACACAAAAATAGTTTCCTGAATCGCACCGTCTAGTTAAGGACGCTATTGCAAGGCGTCACGTGATCGACTTATGTGATGTTTAAAAAAAGAAAGTTTACGGTAACTATTTCCGAAATAAGGGGCGTGATATGACAAAAAGTCCTCGTGGCAATATTTCTTGAACAGAGAAAGAATAAGAGTTGCAGAGTGCTGGGGAGCGTCAACGCAATTTTTTTATCCACATGTTTTGTTTTGGCACGTCCAGCTTTTGTGGTAGTTCTGAACATTGAAATCTATTTTTTTTTAATAATAAATTGAATTTATACCTGGATTTTTATGTCCTCTTGTTTTAATTAATTAGAATATTAGAATTTACTATTGAATCTAGAAGCTTCAGACGGCATGATTTTCTTAGTGATTAAACAGATGGATGAACAGATGAACGAACGCGATTTTGATTTTGATACATACGTTATAGACTAGCTTGAGGTTGCATGCTGGACAGGAACATATTTTTTTCCCTCTATAAGATCTTATATCGGCCATGTAAACATTGAATCATCGGTGCATATATTGTGTAAACATTTGTTGTAAAATGTTTTATGCATCGTATTTTGTCAAAAATTGAAACTGGACACACTTCTTCTGACAGAAAAGAAAAGTTTCTTTTTGCATATTTTTCACAAATCTAGCAAAAAATGATTTTTAAAATAATAATTTTGAAAATTCTCGAGGACATGAACAAAGACGCTTAACGCTGGCATATTTTATGAAGCGCATAAGCACGAAGGGATGCAAATTTATGTCATTCAACAATTATTTTTGAAGCTAAACAGTTTAATTCTAGTTTTGACGTCAAGTGTGGAATTATGACGTCACAATGGAGATATTCTTGCTCCCTCATGTACTCATGTACCTAGTTCATAAGAAAATGATGCGAAGAATATAAAGGAAAAAATATTTGCAAATGTAAATATTAATAAGCAAATCACTATTAATTGCCAAATAAGATATTAGGATTTTTATATATTTATTGCAGATAAAAGTTTTTTGAAACAACCCCTATTCATTCACTCTGTTCAGACAAGTGTCTACCCCCTCCCCCCTTCTCCCCCGATTCCATGTCATAGTGCAGAGACCTCGATGTTTGTTCAGCGCATGAACAATTTGCCCCTTGGACCACTGTGCACTGGTTTAGAATATATATATTTATATTGATATAATAACGGAATGAATGTTTTGGAGACGGGAAAATAAAATAAAAAAAAAAAAACAAAAAAAAACAAATGGGCATGTTGTTATTTCTTTGAGTACATGATTTTATTTATTTATTTATTTATTTATTTTTTACTTTTGTTATTCTGATTTACATACAAAATGAACATCAACCACAAGACTTTCAGAAAAAAAGTATTTATTAATCTATACTTATTGTTTTTTTTTTCTGTAGTCTTTTAACAGACTATACATATTTAAGGTTCAGCAGCAAACCATCATGCGAAAATTTATGGAATCTTATAATATTTTAGGGGGGGGGGGGGGTGTTATTGAAATGCAGAAAGCTTCAAAATGAATGTGATGACATTACTTCATATTTTTACCATAAGTCACTTATAATAATTTGTACAAAATATATCAGTTTTAGGAAAATTCGTTGGGCAATATTTTGTCAGAACGTTGAAAAGTGCCCTTGAGGTGAAAATATTACTGCAAATTTACAATGAATACTCCCCAAAGCAGTAATGGCATTACTACATATATCAATAGTTTCCGATACAATTTTTATTTTCATTGAATATAAAGCATATTATTTAATATGTAGTGGAAATTTTTAATTTTGTTTCAATCTTGATACATGTATGGGATACATAAAATTTCAGCTCATAAATATCAATATTTTGAAAAACAGTGGTTACCATGGCAACCATACGCGGGTATGTTAAGGCTACACCCAGAGAATCCTACTTGCCTTTACAATATGACGTCATAGTAAGCTGTATGACGTGAACTTTAGAAATAATGATTTCTTAATATCTATCTTTAAAGTTTAACTTCAGGTCCAAGAAAAAAATGGAATCATTCAAAACATAATATTAACTAAATCTTGTCGTTTTTGGGTGGTATAAATAGCTAGTTATTTAGCACGGGGTTAAATACCAAACCAGTGACGTCATAACTATTGATCAAATATTTGCCGAGTGAAATTAATGGTGACGAGAATTCATGTAAACAAATATATGAAATGGGAGTTTTAAAGCATATACCGTGAATGTTATGTGTGATTCATAAGGAATTAAAGATTAAGAATCGGGTACGCTGATATATTCTTATCATGTTTTCTTATAATGAACACAGTCAGTGCTTGGAAGTCCCTATCAGCCGTTCCTCTGTCGTTCTATAACAACAAAGATGCAAAAGTTCAACACTACGCCGCATACTTTGAAATATAATTTTTGTTTGTATCGAAAGCTTGTATTCTATGGTACTTGGAAAGTGCTGCTAGAATCGTGTGGTCAACATGAATTGATAAAAACTCCTTGATCGTATGTATAAAATGTAAAAAAATTGGTAAGGTTTCATGCGAAACTGGAATATTTTTTTCTGTGTCAGGAGAGTAGGATTCTAGCAGCACTTTTCATAGCCCAGTGATGTTTTTACATACTGATTTTCACTAAAAGAAATGAATTATCACCGGGGTAGTGTTGAACTTTTCACTTTTTCATTAAGGCATTTTTTCTATTTATAGACGTCACGTGATGACGTCGTAGTGGAGTGCTTCTTTTAGCCTAAGACTCAATGACGTCTACATGTATATAATGGATAATAATAGTAAATGTTTTATCTATGGTTTTTCCGATTTATCAATGTTACATCTTACGAAAAAAGTCTAATTTTGCCGAAATATGATCTGGGTACTGCCTTAACATACCTGCGTATCATCTTTATAAGCCTGATGATCATGGTTGACATTTTCATATTATGATACCACCAACGTAAGGCAAATTATATGTAAAAATGAGAAAAATTCATTTAGCAGATTTTCTTCATAGACCCTTGCAATCGCTTTCTTAAATCTAAAGAAAGTCTTTGTCACATAAAAGTAAGTGAAGTATGATACTTGTTTGTATATTATGGAGTTTTCTGATAAAGCTTACTTCATCGTGTCTTGCAGTCATTCTGCGTACAATAAAGAATGCGTACTCTTTTTGCTCCATCAATTGTACGAAAATATTACCATAGTTTGCATTCTTATCTACATCTGGCCAATACTGATGGCACTTTATCTGAAAAAAGAAAATGGAACATAAAATCAAAAAGAAAACTTTTAAATTAGCCTAGACAGACACTATTATGACTTACTAAAATATAAATTGAAACTAAAAAAGGAAAGAGTTAAGGGAGAAACTAAAAAAAAGTAAGCTTAAGATTACATACATGTATGATTGCCGTCAAGTTCATCACAAAATAAACATACCCAGGGTCCTTCTCTCAGGTTTGTCAACATGACAATGGAGAACACATTTTCTTGCCAAATCATCGTCCAAAAATCGTCAAGTGTATTCTGCTTTGGTCCTACAAGAGACATATAAACGCTAAAAACAACTGCATTTTTTTATGTAGATATATCTTTTCAAATATATATTCAAGATTATGTTGTAAATACACTTATTCTCATAATTCTTGTCTGAGGCTTATTTGAAACCAAAAATGTAACCATCATACGAAAATAAATAAATAAATACAACCTATAAACATAAAATATACTGTACGAGTTTCGAGACATGTATACCTTGTGCTGCGATATACTCTCTTACACTCACTGGGCCCTGTAAATTACGAAGACAAAGCTCAGTATCAAATTTCATACGTATTTCTTTAAGAGGCACGAATAGCTCATGTAAAGTAAGTAAAAAAAAAAAAAAAAAAAAAAAAAAAAAGAAGAAAATGACGATTTGATATTTTCTACCTTGCAAGGAAATGATTTTTTGTTCATAGTGGTGTTACTATAAAACATGAATGTGCATGACAATGTTGTTTACCTCGATATAGTTTGCATTGATGTAGTCGGATCCTGATTTCGTTCTCAATATTACCCTTGAATGATCATCTATTTTGGAGGAAAGAGTAATATGAGTATTCTTACAATAATATCGTATAAACAGTGTAATAATAAGAAGGAAAATAAAAGTACTTAGTATTATATTATTTCAAACCATAAAATCCACACCTTATTTATTCTCATTTGGTATATACGAGGTTCTAAGGTTTTCGGTCATGATTGTTCTTTCCAATGGGACAATTGAACATGATAAAACATTAAGGGAACACTACCGAAATACGGTGTCTGCATAAAAATTTTTGCGGTATGCGTTTGTGCGGATATCCTACTTTTCTCTTCCTGTACGTTACCTTTCTTTCGCTGAAGATCTTTGGAAATAAGTCACAACTTTGAAATTGCTTGATTTGAAGAAGATAATTGGAATTTCTATTCACATCAAATACGCGCCTTTTTTTTTTTTTTTTTTTTTTTTTTTTTTTTTTTTTTTTTTTGATATCGAAAAATCTCTTTATTTTAGTTCCTCGTGCATTGTACATTAAATTAATTTACTTTCGTTCGCTATTTATTGATTGATTTATTATTTATTCATTATCTTCTTTTTTATTTATTATTATTATTTATTTATTATCTTCTTTCTATGATATATATTTTGATATCCCCTGCCAACATAGTTGCAAAGCACTTGTGCGTGTGAGAAGTAAGGGAATGCGTAACGAACGGTACACAAACAATACTTTATATCGGGATCGATCGATCTTTTGCAAGAAGATGCCGCATTTGCTGACCACGTTTTCTTTCATGTGCTTCCTTTCATGATCACTCTAGTCTCAGACAAGGGCATAAATTATATAATTGTATGACGTTAACATTAGAATACTATGCATTATAAAAATATATTTTGACATTTTTGTACAATCAATAACATATGAAAACAGGAGCATATGGAACATTTGGCTATGCAATATGAGTAATTTAAAACTCCCATTTTAGAACCGTAAAAGTATTACTTGATACTTACAGGGAAATGTAGCTTTATATCTATTTTTATCAAGATTTTCCTTTCTTTTTCCGGCTTCACACTTGAATAGTTCCCCGTATGGTAATGCCTGCGGTGAATATAAATAACACCTTCCACACAGTATGTCAATATGCATAGTGCAATTTCAGTGATTATTGATATAGACTGCGTATCAGAAGTGTAAGCTTTACAACATCATTTTAAAAGTCATATTATAATTACCCTTATCAACTTTATAATTATAAGTTATGAAGTTTTTCTCTTTTTTGCTTTATTACCGCATATTCTTTTTGAAATCCGGCATCTCCATCCTTTCTTTTCTCAGCTATAACCGACTCCAGTTGATTAAGAGGTATGTCCAGCATTGTCGTTTCATTTGCATAAAAGTCTCGATAGGGATTTTCCAAGTGTAACAACTCATCTTCATCGACATCAATATCATGACCCTTCGTCTTGCGTCTAGTGTGTATAGGATTTCCAATATCTCTATGTTTACTTCTTTGATGTTCGGTTGAGGACTGAGGTTTTGAATTAGTAGAAGTAGATTCTGCACCACCAATTCCCATTTTGTCTGAAAACAGATAAAATCCAACAGTCATTCCTGAGTGTGGTTAATGTAGAGTATGGAAAAAAAAAAACATTTCAGGCAATTACAATGCTTTGTTCCTCCAATTTGTCCACTTCCGACTTCTTGTAGACTGCGCCTGGAACATGAGAAAATTAAAAGTACAAATAAAAGCAAGTCTAGATTAATGGTTATAGACATTTAATTAGGCGTTCTTCTTCTATTCCAAGGCAAAAAAGGTAATCGCTGGTTATTTTAAAGAATATATAAAACATATTTATTTACATACATTATAAAGTTTATGAATGAAGCATAGCAAATTAAAGAATTACCTTCTTAGAACCAGAATCAGAACAGCTACAACGATAACAGCAATGACAAGTCCACAGATCCCTCCAATGACGGAGCCAAGTGTATTATTAGCGTAAGTCTGTAATATGTGTTGAATATATTGATACAATTTCCACTGTGTAAGTAGGGATAGAAATATGTCGTGTTCGGAATATATATATATATATATATATATATATATATATATATATATATATATATATATATATATATATATATATATATATATATATATATATATATATTAGATACAAGGTAAAAGATTGTATTTTATATAAAGTACTAAAATGACCAACGACACGAACAATATAGTACATAGGTTCCCAGTCTTTTTTTGGCCGATAGAGTTTATATTTTTCTTAGTCATGGAATAGTGACTGGTAAAAGCCGCACGAATCTTTCTCGGTGTCTTTTCTTGAGAAATAGTCCTTCAGTCGTAGCCTCCGAAAGAATGCTCGAGTGTCCTCTCTGACTTGTTTTTCCTCGACTTCGTGTGGCGTGGGACAGAAATTCAGTCCCTTTGAATGAAGTGAGATTTCTGATTCAGAAAGAGGAACATTGGATTTGTTAAGCACTGGGCAGACGTCAAGAGTTTATGAGGATTCGTCCAACGTGTTGATCTTTTTGCGCTTGAAGTGTCTTAAGCGGGTTTTTTTGTGATTTACTGACTACTAGGACTTCTCTCCCGTTGATCTTGGTCTGTGAAACACGAATCAGACAAATTCCCACCTGTATCTCATGCCGTCAAGCTGTCATCCCCAACACACATTCAAAGGTGTGTCTAAGGGTCTAACCACTTGAATCCGCCGCATCTGTTCAACCTCTGCTTCATACCAAGAACAGAGCAATCTCCTAAAGTTCCATTTATGCAAGAAAGGCTACAAAGCCCATACCGTACAAACTGCTATTGCTGAAATGGCAGGACACGACAGACAATACCTTTTACATTACAAAGAAAAAAACAGTAGCAGCTAGGTTCCACTGGTAACCACATACTATCCTAACCTCAAGAACTCAACGATATTCTTAATAAGAACCTCACAGTTTTTTACTCCAACAAAAGAATGGCTGAGATCTTACGGGAACTTCATTGGCTGCCTATAGGAACTTGAAGGATATGGAACATGTAGTAAGAATCAGATTGGACAACCCATTACCCAACGGGGGTTTAAAACTTGTTATGACAGAAGGCGTCTTCTCTGTAAACACAGCTCTGACACAGACAGTTTTAATAACCCGATATCAGGCCGCAACTTCAGAATATTAGGGAACTTCTCCTGTCAAACAGATAACTGCATTTATCTCATCAGCTGAAAAGTACATGTATGTCAAAAGCAATATGTTGCGGAAACGGTGATCTCCTTAGAAGAATCAATAATCACCGCTCGACCATTAAGACCAATAAAATCAATGAACCAGTTGGGGAACACTTCAACCTCGAAGGTCAAAATGGGAGGACATGACAGCAGTGGTTATTGAACATAATCCAATATGGACAGAGGCTCAGAGAAAAAGCAAGGAAAAGTTATGGATGCACAGACTGAAGTCATTCCGCCCTAATGGGATTAACAAACTAAATGACTTCACCAGGATGAACGTAAACTAGATCAAATTCCTGATTGTGACAAACAAGAACATTCTCTCCATATAGTGTAATCTTTACAGTTAATTTACATTATCAATTTTGGATCGACCAACACACAATTATTTTTGCTTACATTTTGGTTTATTATTTCTTTTATCCGAAAAACAGTCCTCAAAACATTTCCAAATTTATAAAAGATCCAAATTCATATTTTAAAATTTCCCTTCTACATTATCTTTCTTTGGTTTCTTTTATAATGTATAGTTCTGCTATTTTGAGAGAATAAGACAGTGCACGATTTACTACATGGTCGTAATTAATTAGCGATAATTAATTCTTACAATTATGTACATCGCACTTCCCCAGAGTACACCCGACAGACCTAACGTATTTCATAGCAGTCCGGATATCATTCATTACAACTGGTTATAAACTTCAAATTAAACATGTGACATTGTATATAATTATATATTGTTTGATAGTTTAGTAGTAGTGCTAGTTGTTGTTTCTCTAATTCCCGAGGAAGGGACAGGGCGTCAAGATAATTTGACAATTTTTAATTGTTAGTGTCATTGGTCATTTTTGGTGCTTTATATATATATATATATATATATATATATATATATATATATATATATATATATATATAGAGAGAGAGAGAGAGAGAGAGAGAGAGAGAGAGAGAGAGAGAGAGAGAGAGAGAGTTTAAGTTTACAAATACATTTTTATCTTTTTTAAAAAGCTATTAATAAAAATAATATCTTTTCAAAGTAGATTCTTATTTCTAAAACATTATGAGAGTATCTATAGAGAATGCTTTGGGAGAAAAAGAAAAGAAAAATCACCTTTACCTTTGGACAATATCCAGTGACAGAGTCACACGTATTATTAATACAGCTCTTGCTACAGTTGTTTAAGCAGTCAAACCCGTATGTGTCCGAGCTACAACCTGAAAACCAGCACAAGATGCAAAAAGATCACAAATAATGAGACAGCTGAGTATGATACGGGTAATGTCATCCCACCTTTTGGTGAACTCATAACTCTTTGCATTACTGTAGATTCCTAAATGTTCGCGAGGATTTAATTATCGAGTAATTACGCGAGAAGCACCACTCGCGAAATAAAATTACTCGCTTTTATATTTATTGTGCTGAAATCAATGTAAAATCTCCTGATTAACCGTCCGCTCGCGAACTATTGTTCTCGCGATTTGAAGTCAGCCATTTCGCGAAAATAAGTACTCGCGAAAAATAAGGAATCTACAGTATATATCCTGATAAATGATGGTCTCTCTTCAACCTTTTCATTTCAAAGTATTCTGTTACTATTTTTAAGGTACTTGCATATTGTTGATGTCCAACACCATTGCTTGCTCACAGGACAACATCATTTTTTTAGTATTCCATACATTATACCTGCGATAAACTTTGGGGACAATTGCTGTGAGGAGTCTCGAACAAATAGCTGAAGGTGCATACGGATTTTACCTTTAGATTAACAATTTTCAAACAATGCATAGTTTCCCATGCATTAGCAAAACCAAAAAAAAAAAAAATCTTAAAGACTAACTAAAAGTTAAAGAAATGCACTTGACCTCATATAATTCTATGCAGCTGGAGAAAAATAAATGGTTGAAAATGATAGAATCGTACTGTGTGGACAGAACGATTCTTGAATTGGGTACATGTAACTGGAAGGAAAGCAAAACATTAGCAAGTGATATTCCTTAGGATTAGAAAAAAATAGGAAATTTGCATGATATGCATACCCTGAGTACAGTGTATTTCTTTGTATCCTTTTGCGCATCCATTCAAACAAATTCCATTGATGTGATGACATTTCGTTGAATATCGACAGTTCCCACAAGGCTTACTACATTGCTTTCCGTACACATTGCCAGAACATTCTATTTGAACAGAAAAGGGGCTAAATGATCCGAGGAGCACCTTTCGTTTATTATTATTATTATTATTATTATTATTATTTTCTGAAAATTATAATATAAAGATATTTACCTACATATGGATCATAAAACATCTTTACAATAATGCAAAATATATTTTTTAAAAATGTATTTCGGATATATATGTATAATACAATAAAACCTTTTGTTCAAATCACTTAAAAAAAAAAAATATTTGCACCTCTTTAATTTACCTTAAATTAGCTACATATTTTCTGGCGCATACATGTATCATAAGATACAGAAAGCAGACATATTTTTAAATCAATAGTAGACTTGGTCCCAACATCTAACATTTTTTGTGTTTTTATATATTAATTTATATATAAATCCCTATCTTTACTGTTATTACTTCTGAATGAAATAACATACTGTAAGGATTTTCTTTTGTTCTTTGAATTATTATGTTAAGGCTACGCCAAGAGATTCTGACTTGGCGAAATCTGCGAAACGATATGCAATCACAGAAATCTGTATCACGTGAACTTTACAGCTGATATTTTTTAAAAATATTTTTATTTATGGATTTATCTGAACAGCCAAAAATAATGCAAAGACATTGAAACAGAATGGATGCAAAAGCTGTCATTTTCTAAAGCTATATAAAACTAAGTATTTATCACAGGGTTTATGTACTTTACAATAACGTCATCAAAATCAAATTTTGTTTGAATGAACGAGAAAGCTATACTCTGATCGCATTGACGTCCCTCCCAGCCCGGCTGACATCCTCCTTCACATTCTCCAGTTGTCCTCTTACAAGTTTTTGGTACGCCGCAGTTGACGCTACAATTCTGTTTACAGTAATTTCCAAAAGTTCCCTCCGGACAGGCTATAATAAAAAAAAACAGTTACAAACTAAACACGATTTACTGATACATTTCCTTAAAACGTTCATCAGGACATCCTTGTTTGACCATATAATTTTGCATATAAAATGAAATACTTATATTTTAATTATTCATGAATGTTAGATATTGAATATTTGAAGGAAACAGAACAAACAAGAAGTAAAAATAAAAGTAGCTAATATGATACAAAAATCATTTCGTTAATAAAAGTTATCATTTTATAGTCTATATATAGCCCCTTTCAAATCTACACAACGCAAAAAGTTCATAGCACTATATATTCACTAGATTTGAGGCCGTATTCACCGGAGGCACAGTGTGCAGGCAGCGGCGATTGTGACGTCCGAAAGACAAAGGGTTGCAACGGCCGGAGCAAGTCGTGTATATGAGCATGGAAAATGTTTGGCAAGCCTATGGCCAGATTATTATCAGAACAATTTAACGTAAAATGATGTCTCACACACTACGAAAGGAAACACAGAAGTACCTTGGTAAATGTACCTACCTCCTCCATTAAGGTCACTTGTGTAAGATAGTTCCTGGCAGACTAAATGACGTATTAAAGATGACAGGCAATTTAACAAAGTATTGAGAGAAGATAACTTTTAATCTTGACTTTATAATTTGTGCGACAGAAGTTGGTTAATGAAAATGGTGTCATCATGCAGCCTTCAATGTCTTATTTATTCGAATACGACTATATAATGGCACAATTTTAAACTCTGTGGGAGGTGAAAATGGTTTGACATTCACTATAAGAATATCGATATTGACCTCTGTTTCGCCTCGTCAATATTGGTATTTTTCTGGTGAAATATCAAACCATATTCACCAACCAAGAGTCTATTTTATTCCTATTCAAGGTAACGTGTTAATATTACAACTATAAACCTTTTTTTCTAAGAAATTCTTTAATCTTATTTATATTTCAGCATTGTATTGGTATCCATGTAAATTGATTAAAGCAATGAATTTTTCACGGAGGGTCCTCAAGTACATAAAGAACAACAATAAATAATTGATTGTATGCAAACAATTATCCAAATATGTTCCTTTTTGATAGCAAAGCACAATTCATTATCAAATTTAGTCCTAATTAAACATGAAGGACAATGTGTAAATACATGTCATATCCTCACAAATTCCTCAGTATAATTTTTTTTGACAGGGATCGACACGCCTGGCTGAAAATGGAAAGTTGTTACTGACTCTAGATTTCTTACAAATTTGATCGAACTTACGTGTTTTGCATCTATTTCCGAAAAATCCAACGTCACATCCGTTTTCACATCTCCCACTTACATGGTTACAAGTCGCTCTGTTCATACACTTACCACAGCGTTTCTTGCAAGCATCACCATAGTAATAACGATTACAGGCTGATGACAAAAAATAATTAGTTGAATATAGTACGTTTGTGCCCTATCGTCATTAATAATAATAATAATAATAATCTTATAATTTTTCATTTAAAACAATTAATATAAATTATGTTTTATTTATGTAGTAACTTTTTTTTATATTTTACTTCTTACAAATCATACAAATAGTACAAAATAAGGTAAACCGCAAATAGAATTTGATATATAAACATTATTTACGATTTCTTTGACACGGATTACGTATTATCTGTTTCATTTCAAGTGATTTGCATTAGGTTTTCTTGACAAATCAGTTTCAATATGTTTCTGTCTATGACAGTTCAAGATAAATACAAAACACATTTTTGGATACATGTACCCATTATCTTACTACAACGACACCATTATTTGAATAAGAATCCTTAAAACGACTTCGTAAATAATTTCTGTTTACAGGCATACTGTAAACCAACTATTATTCGCGTCATCTTTTATTCGCGATTGGTCAGTTTAAAATCAATCTGCGACGATTAATTTCCGCAACTCAGGAAACATTCTCTAGAAATACAAAGTAAAATAAATGGTTCGCAGCGATTAATATTTGCGAGTAAATGTAGGTCGTGAAAGTCGCGAATATTTCTCTCACGCAAATAAAAGTTGGTTTACAGTATCTATTTCTGTATATGTTCTCAAACACATGTTCTTTTGCTACTTATCTTTGGTTTTCTTTTCTACATTTAAACGTCATTCTAATTTCATTTAAGCCCATAAAATGAAGATTGTGGTTGAAAAAAGAAATGCATGAAATATCAATTTTTAACTACTTTATGTTGAATGTTCAAGTCCAAACTAGGCGTTTGTTCGATGAATCAATCTGCTTGTATGAAATCATTAAGAGTGCAGCGATACTGCTTTTTCGTATAATTCCGAGAGAAAAAAAAATCTCAAAATTATTTTAACATTAAGAATTGTCATTTTAATCTTAAAGAACAGGAAGCTGTTAGAAATTTGAATTTCTTCGTAGCATTTATTCTCAAAGAATGTACAATATGTTACATGTAAACCTACACAATAATTTTTCAATTCGGTTTAACACCTTTTTTTTCTAAGATAGGATAGCTGACCCTTACATTTTTAAGTGTAGATATATTTTATCAATTACTAGTATACAGAATCCTAATATTTCAACAAACTCCGCTATTTGCACCAATGTTTTTATTCTGAATGGATTTTCAAAGATGATTTGGTTTTCATAGACTTACGTAGTTGACATTGATGACCTTGGTACCCAGGTTTACATCCTTGACAAACGCCATCTTTTATATCACAATATCGGCAGGTTGGATTGAGACAAGATAAGGAACAATTATATCCATAGAAACCGCTATTGCAACCTTTAAAAAATGTACGAAATTATAGAGATAAACAGAATGCCTTAGGTTCCATGCTTCAAACAAATATAAATCTACTACAAGTGCGCATTGATATATTATAGCCCCTACTTTTCTGTCTTTAAATTATCCCTTATCAAATTTTGAGACCATTGTTGGCTTTATCGTAGACTGGGGTCATGATTTAAAAAAAATCCTCAAAGCATCGGGATTAAATAAATGAATGTGTCTCACTGTTTCCCATTTTGTTCCTTTTTCAAATGTTAAACATCCAACAAGCATACCTTATCAAAATTTAGCCATTGGGTCCATGATTTAAAAAAAATAAAAAAAATATTCTCTATATCCTAATGAAAAAAAGATGAAGATAACAAACAGTGATTGAAAACTCAAAAAAAAAAAAAAATCTATCAAACAATACCACTTTGTAAAGAATATTTAGAACACGGACCCCTGGATATTCCAGAGGTTGGATCAGTTGCCTAGAATTAGTAAGCATGGTTCTTAAATTGTCAAAATTTTATTTTCAGCAATTTCTTCCTATAGATTGCTAGGTCGGTTGTACGAATACATTTCAGGGACGCGAAAGTGAGAGAACAATAATGGCTGTGTTGTCCCTTGATCTGTTACCACTATACTAGATGATTGGAGATTTGGAAGATGCATGTAAAGTGTGCTTATCAACTTTAAAAAAAAATTCCCAACAAATGTTAAGTTCATTTCCTGAACCTTTCATTTCATATACATAATTTCAGGATTATAGTACAATTTACTGCATTTCACAATTAGCGATTTTCTGGAGTCATAAATTACCCTGTCTACCTGAACTCTGAGTGCTCCGACGGGCCTTAAAAGAATCAAGTCGACAAAAAAAGACATGCCGATTTCTAAAAAAATATATATACATATATATTTTTTCGCACTTAAAGTGTTTAAAACTTCTTCACTTCTCTTCAGAAAAAAAAAATGTTGAAAAGTTTTAAAGTTCCAGAATTTGTCTATCGCAAAGTCAATTTAAGTTGATCGCCAATTTGGCGACTTGTGGAGAAATTTATGGCACCAATCAAAAGTTTTTTTTATCGCCATGGCAACTAAATTAGTCGCCAGTTAGAGCCCTGTATGCTGTTTTATATCTACACTATTAAATTCACTTTGTCTCAGTCGATACTGAGTTTTTGGAGAGAAAGAAATAAACCAACAACTTTTACTAGGAGTTCCTGTAGACCTTTCAGAAATAAAGCTATTGAATAATAAAATAACAATCACATTAGCACCAAGTGGTCACCAAAGTTTGTATAACAAAACATAGGAAATGCATAAATCCTTTTGATGTATACTAGATGTTTGGTTTTTCTTGTAAGTTGGGAAATATTTGTTCATATTTTAAACGACAAACGGTTTTTTTTTTTAAATATATTTGTTTTAGAGACAAAATTCGTTTGATATTGAAAAATCTAGAAATTTACTATACATCTATACATTTAAAGGCGGACATATTGAGTTACTGTCTGGAAAGGAATAAATCGATGAAAATAATTTGTTGGAAAAAAAATTGCCTTCCTTAGATCGAACAGATAAGGGTTAAAGTGCAACCAATACATACATTTACCTTGACTCACGCATAATTTTTGTATATCAAAATAGTTATGAATAATCTTGCAGATATTATTGAGAAAAAAAATCCTTTTTTATTATTATTAAACCTATAATACACACATATTTTCACATAACTGCAATGTTTCTTCGAAGGGGACAGTACCTATCACCACATGTCAGCACTTGTCTATTTTTTTCCCAGTAGAGACAGTAAAACGGATCAGTAGTTGTCTATGTTTATTTGCACTGAAAAAGTTTGTCAGTACTTTAAGTTTATCATAACCGGCATTAAAAAATATCAGTATTTTCCTACATTTTGTAGTACACACAGTATATTGACAGTAACTGTCTATAGTTGTCAGTAAAAAAATAGAAATGTGAGCATGTTTCTGGCTTAGTGGTGTTTGTAGATATGCAAATTTCCCTGCAACAAAAATGAATTTAAAGACTTACCGTATACTTCCACTTCACACAAATCAGTGTGTGCATCTGGAGAAAAGTTACGTGCATTTGTTGATTCCTGGGGTCTTTTGTTGAAATAAATGACGTATTGCCCATGTACAGGACAGGTTAAGTTGACGACAGCTGGTATTGTGGATCTGGTGTAGTTTGTGTCGTGAAAACATAAGTGACCATCTTCAATGCTTGTTGTGTTTGATATATACACATAAAATCCCAGAAATCTTCGTGTAAAACCATTCTTAGCATCTACAATGAATATAAAAGGTCGCATAACTTTGTATTTTGACAAAAACGTTTTAGAATTTTAAATACATCATTCTTATGATGATTTATCTCTACTATCACTTGTAGGGAAACAAAAATTTCAATAAAATTTTGTAGATTTCAAAAATGCATTTAATCCGAATGCGTCGTATTACGATAGATGCCATTGTCTTCTTTTTTATTGTTATTGTTATGCACGTGCAACGAAAAATTGTTTCTGCAAGGTTAAATCAGTTGAGTATTTTTGGGGGGTGGGGATGATAAACATGTAATATTATTGAAATATAAATATAATTACTCCATTCGACATTGTCCGTCCTGTAATAAATCCTTATATCGTGAATGCTGTGGATAGATGTCAAGTCAACCCACCAGGTAGCGTTTCGGTGTCCATCAGCTGATACAGTACATTGTCCTCCAAAGGCCGAGAGGTCAGTCTTCCGACCATCAACAGCATTGTTTGAATCGAATGTAGATGCGCGATATCTGTTACTAGCATATGCATGCGATTGATTTGTTGGTTGTTTTAAAGCTATGTTTTCTAAAGATAAAGAAAAAAAATAAAATCATTTTTGTAACATAATGTTGAAATTAAATTCATGTCTACCTCCTCACACATTTACAATACAGGATAATGGACACAAAAATCCCTTTTAAATTCAACATATCGCAAATACCGTGGCTGATATAATGATCTTGTTTGCAAATACAATATATACATGCAGTTAAGCTGAATAGTGAATGATGTAATTCATATAGTTTGTTTGGCCATTATGTCTGTATATTTTTTTTTCCGTTTACCTGATCGCAAAGAGGATGTGACCGGTCGACGGGAATGCTACTCCTTCATGGCACCTGATCTAATCTCTGATCTATGAGGTCCGTGTTTTATTTTTCTTTTTTCCCCTTATTTGTATGAATTATTTTTTAAAGTCTTTTTGTGTTTGTTTCATTGTTTTTATTACATGTATTTATTTATTCATTTATTTATTATTTACTTGATGTTTTGGTCCTCTTTTTCTGGTTTTGGTTATTTGTTCGTTTTATCTTTTTTTTCTTATTTTTTTTTTTTAATTTAATTTAATTTAATTATTATTATTATTATTATTTTATATTCATTTATTTGTTTTGGTTTTTTTTTTTTTTTTTTTTTTTTTTTTTTGTTATTTTCTTCTAAAACTCATAGTAAGGTTTGCTGTTTTATTTGGATGTATTAAGCTGTTTAATTACATTCTTTAATATACATTGGGTAAACATGAAACAACACTACGATCCCCTGCAATGTATCAAAATAAGTCTAAATGCAAGACAAAAATGACCGTATACAAAAGAAATTGATTAAATTCCCATAAATGGCATAACTCTCTTATGACAAAAAATTGCTCCCTTCGTTTGCGAAACTTGCTTTAGCAACCTAATTGGTATGTTGACTTTAACATGAAAATTTTAAACGAAAAGCCAATAAATCAACCATTTTTAGAGGTATTTTCTCACTTTTGAAGTTTATAGATATTGTCATTTAAACTTATCTTTATAATTTGAAGGTAGAAGGACCATTGTATTTTAGTATTCCTAATATAAACAATTATAATTATTTTTTCTTCTGAATACATATACTTAGACTTACTATATCCATGGGTACAATCAATTACAAGTACGATGAACCACATTGTTGAGCTTTCGAGCATCATGTTACGAGATCCCTTCACTTTGTACATGTACATTGATGTAGAAGTTGTTGCCTACTGAGAATAAATACAGAAAGAACGCAAAAAAAATCATCCCATGGAGTCAGAGGATACTTCATAGTTGCAATATCAATTGATGTCGATTTTACATCAGAAAAGGAAGCCCCTCTTTCCGTTCTGTTGAATTTGAAAAGACAGAGGAAGTACATTGCGAAAAGATTCAGACAACCGCGTACTGTATATTATAAATTTGGTGAACAAACTTAGAAGGATCTTGAAGATTTAAGACTTTTACTGAAAAGTATTTTCATCATACTCATATTTTTATAGTAGCAGTTGATTCAGATTTTATACACTCGAACTCTAACTTATGTAATGATTGCATTAGTTTTGGATGGTAAGTGTGGGATGGGGTAGAGATTATTTAGCATTTAAGAACACTAGCTATGGATGCTTTAAGCATTAATAATACATATCAATATTCGGTACGTTAGAAATGGACATGTGTATTTTGATAGTTCTCTCACATAATACTTGTAGGCTGATTTTGGTCCAAGGAAATAACGTAATGCACAATTCATTTAGACATTTAAATGTTAGTCACAGGGTTAAGAAGGTTTTGGAATGTTTAACTCTGTGAGAAAAACTTTGTACCAGAGAATCTTACTTGGCGCAAAAATAGCTTGTGACTAAGTCTGTTATTATTCTTAGATATACATATATGTATACATTTACTATGACTAAGAAGATAAATTGTCCATTAATTTTGATGCCCCGATGTTAAAAAGGTCAAATAATTTTCGACATAAGGAGATGTATTCGATGAATATTTTGAGAAAGAATCCTTTGCTTGACAGACATCATTCTTGACATACTGGCATCCTCTAATAAGTAAACGAATATTTTTTTCATCTTAGAAGGTTAAAACTTAAATTTCTCCAACATGAGCATTTAATGTCTGTTCAGTATCTTTGGTACCATTTGTATAATATGTACAAAACGACAATATGTACCGTCACATTATGTTAAAACCATTCTAATACTAATCACTGCAATATTAATACACTGTTTAAATGTCGACTGGGCACAAAACAATTAAAAAAAGTATTTTTGCAGAATGAAACATAACCGTGGATAACATAGATGTAGGAGCACTGAAGCAGTTGATCTTTAATATATCTTTCATATTTGAATTTACAAATGGATTTTAAAAACGAATCACACTGCATGTAATTAAGAAGAAGAAAATTGTTGATATTCCTCCGAATGGAATCCATATAATTTTCTAAAGAAAGATAAAAAAAAAATTGTATGCATAAATATGACATAATAACAAACATCAGTTTTAAGATACAACAGAAGTTATTGTTTGTGTGTGTGGGACAGAAAATAACACCCTGATTGTTATATCACTGAATATCGATAAATTAGCATTTAAGCACATTGAGATATTTTTTTTTAAAACTTTTTTTTAACTATAACTATTACTTTCTTTTTTGTAAAGTTTTTTGATGCGTTTCTTAATGATTTATACATCATTTACTGTTTTACCGATTTAAATTAGTGATTTCTTCTATTTGTATGATAAGAGTAAAATTGTAATTGACAGGTGTACAAATAATCGTAGTACGTGGATTTCCTAGATAAGGGATTTCTATACAACGCTAAACAATTATCGTAAATAAGTTAAATTATTATTTCCCTGAATAGTCCCTTGATAACGTGTTATGTCAAACAAATTATTCACCCCTGAACTGAAAAGCAAATTGTTTTTTTCTCTTATTAATGAGTTAAATCGGCTTATAATCAATTACATTGTATGTAACAATTGAAGTATGATTACTCGATCGTTTTTGAATTTCCTTTTGCACATTTTGCTGTAGTTAAAAAAAAAAAAAGTAGAATTCCTCATTATTGTACAGGAAAAAAAACGGTGGGTGAAAGCTATGCGAATGTATATAATCGAAAGAAAGATGAACACTGGATGATTGTAAAATTAGGGCGGTGAAGTGTTCCAGGAACAGTAGATCAACTGTATGCTATAGCTAATAAATACTGAAACGAGATTACACAACCTTCTTGGTAAAATTGAAATGATAGAGAATGCAAACTATTAACTATATGTACAATGTATAATTCTTCCTTTTTTATACCAATATTTTCTGTATCTAAATAGAATGTTTAACATCCTGTTGACAGATTATGCATAGAAGTGCTCTGTAAAATATAAGAAAGTGATACTGTTTGGCGTTACTTTGTGGTGTAAATATATGAAAGTAAAAATTTCTTTTAACATTTATTTTTATTTATTTTCTTCTAACAAGCCAAACAATTATGCTAACACTAAATTTAACAACTGAAGAAAATCGATCTCTGAATTATTATTTCTGTCATTAAAATATGGTGCATCAAACGACAATCCTAATTTTATTAATTTATATTATGCTCGCTGCTTGGTATTAGTAGTGTGTGTGTGTGTGTGGGGGGGGGGGGGGGGGTAGTGATGGACATATCAGTTTGTACGTCCGTTCGTCCATTTGTTAGACATAGCAATAACCATCCCTTATCCGCAACTTCTTCTATAGTTAAAAAAAAAGACACTGTTATTCTTTTTTTAAACTATATTATGATGTAGTTGGAAAGTGGAACACACACAGGCATCCTCGACAAAATTACGAGTACTTCATATACAACACATACTAACTCATTGCACTTTTAAGGTTGGAGACGTAAACCTCATTTAATGTATATCATTTTCTTATGGCAAAAAACATTTTGATGCCCTTGCACTAGCGTCATTTTCTACAATCAGCCTGACAATTCTATTTTTATATCAGCAATGTGACATCAAGCTGATACATGCAACTTAACAGGTACTTAGTACGACACAAACCCACTTTTTATTGGTAGCTATATTACTTTTCCTACACTTATTTAGTTACTAATTTTACACCGACTATTAAAAGTTATGTAAAAAGGTATGAAAAGGTATTTAGATAACAATCTCCATTGCCTTCTTTAAGATAGTTGAGTAGCATATGAAGGTTATTTAACCTGTTTATTTTAGGATTAAATCTTGTATAAGTACATGTTGTCATTGATAGATGTTACTTTTACCACTGATGGCTTTAAAGCCATCCGTAAAGCTCAAATGCTAAATTGCATTTGTTCAACTACAATAACATAATATGAAAAACAAATTTTATTAGTAATATCTGTAGCTTGGCTTCATTGTACATTGTTAGATTTGAGATACGAATAAACTATACATGAATCATGCCTACTTAAATTAACCACCAAATTGTGAAGCAATATGATAAAAAATAATCATTTGAAGAAAATGCAATTTTTTTTTCATTTTTAACGCACTGGGATAAGTAATATTAAACACTTCATTCTTTAATAATACTTGTACTGATTTTTTTTCATTATTATATGCTTAAATTATACAAACAAATCCTCATATAGAAAGTTGTTTATGCAAATCCGGGTATATATTGAAACCAAAAGTCTCTGTCGAGACTGTAGCTCTACTGGTTTGTACTTGTAACAATTAAGGAACAGAAAAGTAGCACTCACTTAGACTTGAAACTTTGCAACAGCAATAAATAAATAGTAATCCATGTTTTACTCTCTTTTTGTGGCAAGATGAATTGCAATCAGACTATAACTGTAGAAGGAGCAGCAATTTAAAAGAATTTTAGAGAAATTTCGATTTTAGTTACCATGGCAACATTATTCATCAAAATCTTATTCAATTAAGACATTTATGTATCTCAGTATAGTCTACTTGCATGCCATGTTATATTAAAATCAGTCCAAACTGTAGGCAAAGTAATGATTTGAAAGTATATCAAAGAAATTCATTTTTTTGTAACCGTGGCAACATTTCACCAATATCAAAAAATTGATATACAGAATTATGTATCTTAGTGTATTCTAATTGTGTGCCAAGTTATATTGAAATCAGACCAAAACTGTAGGAAGAGTAGCATTTTGAAAGTATTTCACAGAAATTTCTAGTTTTAATAACCATGGCAACACAGTTCATTGAACTCAAAAACCGATAAATAGAAATATGTATCTTAGTGTAGTCTACTTGTTTGCCAAATTATACTAAATCAGACCAAAACTATAGGAAGAGTAACATTTTGAATGTATTTCACAGAAATTTCTATTTTTAGTAACCATGGCAACACCGTTCATCGAAATCAAAAACCGATACAGAGAATTATGTATCTAAGTGTAGTATACTTGTGTGCCAAGTTATACTGAAATCAGACCCAAACTGTAGGAGGAGTAGCATTTTAAAAAATTGTTTACAGACAGACAGACAGACGGACGGACACCTTACTATCGCATAAGCTCTTCTGGTCTCTAACCAGTAGAGCTAAAAAAAAAAATACAGTATATTCACAAATGATAATAATAATAATAAATAATGATAATTTAAAAAAAAGTATACTTTAAAGTCACTGTCTTTATTTCCTGTTCCTATAGAGATTTTGTGCATATAAAAATCAAAATTAATATATAAAATCATAGAAAGAATTAATGATCAACTACAACATGAATCCATGGAACTTTTTTTATATGAATTTTCATTTTATCGGTGGGAAAACAGCCTCCGATTCCTTTGCTTCTAGCTCTCCACATTGCCTGATTATTGATTAGAGTAGATGTTTTCAGTGCCTCGCTGAATGTGATCATGCACAGCTTTGATGACAAGTTCATACTCTTCCTGTAAGCAAGCATAAAGAAAAATCAATTGCTGTTTATAAAAATTACACTTTTTTTATGTCGAAAAAATTGTAGATTTGTTGAATGATCAGTAAGAGAATTGAATGTATTGATGAAGCAACTCTTATGCATTTTCAGTTTTTCATTTCTACAGATTTAATCTTACAATGATTTTTTTTTCACATCTTATACACAGATTTAGGCTATGATATGTTGAAGCATATTATATTTAAACGACTCTTAATAATATTCTGTCAATAGGCCATTGCTGATGTACACATATTTTCAATTGAGCCAATTTAATTTTCATAGATTATAAAAGAATTTACATAATTGAATATGACTTACAAGACTGGAGCAAAAAGCTGGTCTACGAACTTGAAATTGTCTAACTGCAGTAAAGACATCAACTCTATTATCCATGTTAATTTGCTGTACCACGTTATGAACTGCACAGAAAGCACCACAAAGGGAAGCTCCGTCGCTGCCAGAAAAAAAAAAAAACAAAAAACAAAACAAATTAGCCTGATCTTTTAAACTACTTTTGTTTACAAATATTCTGCATTATTCCTTAGGTGGAAGTAAGAAATTAACAAGAAAATATATAATTAGATTAATGAGTATTGCTTTCATGAATTAAACATTTAAATTTCGCGGTATATCATACTTTGAATTTTATTTACTAATAAAACAAAAATATTTATCATAAATGTATCTGAAGAGGTAATTAGATATTTGTATACAATCATTTAAACGCAAATAGGAAAACGAATATCAAACCTGCTGACAATGATTATAGGATTTCCTGTCTTCACGCTTAGAGCGACGGAAACCAGACTTCGAAGCTGAGAAGTATCCAGAGGACTTCCGGAAGTTTTGATTCTAAACTTGGGTTCTATAACTGTCACCGAATGAGACTTCTTACCCTACAGGAAAAAAAAAAAAATTATAATTTGTCTTTCCTTTCTATTTCATTTATAAAATACTCATCAAATTAAACAATAATGAGAGAAAGAAAAACTGACGCAAAGATCTCAAAGCAGCATGTTGTTTATTTACATTTTTCTGACGAATGTGAAGGATGGTGCTTCTGACATCAATTTCATTTTTTAATTGAAACTGGATGGTGAAGGGAGGCACTGTTTTAGGGGATTGATCCGGTAGCCACTCCTTACTCTAGAGAGAAGACAAAATTTAAATTATATATGTTACAGTAAATATATGTAATCAGGAATTTCATGTATTTCCTGAATTTTAGGAAGTACGTGAAATTCCTATTCTGCTTAGGAAATACATGTATTTACTGGATTTTTCAATACCTGTTACAAGTATTTACTGACTGTGTTATAATTTCAAATGTGAATTAAAAAAAATATGAACAGATGCATAGTATATTCAATGTTTAAATCAGTTAGCATATCATGTGAATAAATAATATTTGAACGAAATAAACCTTTATAAATAAAAATGCATTATTTTTGAAAATTTAAAAAAAAAAACATAATGATATACTGCTTTCATTTTCTCGAATGAGTTGTTTATATAACATCATAATTTAAATTATTTTTACTCTTTTTATAATTTAAAAAAACTGAACTCGGTAACTGACATTTCTTGTTTTACTAGATATTCATACAATGCTTTTTGCATTTATTGAGAGTAAATTTAAAACCCTGAAACATCTTATTTGCAAGTAAAACAATTCTCATCTTGTCTCTTTAGAAATGTAAAAAAAAATCTTATAAAATACATACAATATATCGAAACTAAAGTCAGTATTTCAATGATAAATCTTTTCTTAAAGGTATTTTCCACCCTCACAATTTCAATAGTTCAATGTAGAAAAACTGCATTTATTTTCACTGAATATAGTATACAAATTAAATAATAATTGCAAAACATTTATATGTTGCCATATTTTTAAAAATTTAAGATTTAAATAAACAGAAGTACCGTATATTTCAGCAATAAAAAATCGTACATAATGATTAATTTTATAATTAAAAATATGAAAAAAATGGTTCAAATATATTATTCTGGTGTTGAAAGGTCCAAAATAATTGCTTATTTGAATTGTGAATATTTGGGAATCCATTTTACATCAAAAGTTCAATAAAGAAAATACCTGAACAAAGATAAAAGAGAGGAGTTATAGCCCTTAGTAATATTTTAAAAAGATTGATAATTGATTAAATGAAGAAAAATATTTATTTTTAAAATACATTGAAATATTTTCATCACACCCAAATAGCAATCTTCTCTATTGGGTAGGAATTTGGTTTAATAAAAGTTTCTGTAAAAACCTGTGACATCACAGGAGGAAGGAAATATCTTTAATGGAATTTTAGAAAGACAATACACTGAGTCTTCTCCAGAATCGGAAATTAATGTATAATGTAAGCATTGTAGAAACTATTATTATTAAGGGCTGCTTAAAAAAAAATGCGTGCTAGTATTTTATATACTTACTGTTTGTTTTAATGCATATTTATAGTTATCCAGCTTAGTTCAGTAAAAACGTGTAAAATTGGCTAGAATTTTCAGTAAATACATGAATTTCCAAACTATTCATTTTTTACATGTATTTCCTAAAACGGCTAATAAATACATTTATTTACTGAATGGTTTAGGAAATACATGAAATTCTTGATTTCACATATATACTGTAACATTTATACCATCGATGGAAATGCCTTTACAATTTATGCATCTGATGACTACTGAGCTTCCATGTTCAAGAACTTAATTATTTTTTTTATTATTTTTTATTTATTTATCTATTTTATTTATTTATTTTCCTTAGGAACGGGAACACGTCTTCAAAAAATTAAAACTGAACTTGAATTCTGCATTTCATGAATGTCAATATATAAAGAAAATAGAAACATTTCTTTTCTTTGATTATAAAAAGCTGTGTTGTAAAACAAATTAGCCTAAATCATTTACAAAACTACATCACTCCTTATTGAATTATTAATGTGAAATATATGTATATAATTCATTAATGACATTCAGGCAATCTTGGTATTAAATGAAAAAAAATTATGTTCATGTAGGAGAGTGGCTTATAATGAGACACAGATAATTGCAATTTTTACAAAAGTCGGCGAAGAAATAACTTCAAGTACATCTGTTTTTCGCTATAATTAGACCTTACGAACCGATTCAATCCCATCCAACGGATCCAAACAGATGACAGTGTCCGACTTTTGGTCACCGAGCAGGCGCAGGAAGTCAACAGCGTCCTCTGCTGGAGGATACTGCGTTACAATAAATGCTCTACTGTTGGTAAATGACTAGAAAGAACAACAAAAGAACTGTGTTACTAATTATAAAGTCGATTTTTTCTTAATTATGAAAACAGAAAGATCTTCATGATGCAAATTTTATTATTAATTGCAGGAAAAAATTCTTTTTCCTCAAGTTTTAATGTATATGTTACAAATTTAATCATAAACATTCTCAACATGTACAAAATAAAAAAAAAAGAAATTGATGTGTTGCATTAATTGTATTGTCAATTCTTACTGGTACATATATGGCATTGATGAAACTTCCTCGATTCTGAACTGGAGTTGAAAGATGTACACTGTATTTATCCACTAATCAAAAAAAAAAAAAAAAAAATTAAACAAAAATTACTTGATCCTCGTTATGATCACAAAATTGACGACGTTCAAGTCTGTTCTCTGAATGAATAATGTACTCCAAGAAAGTCATTTATTGTTACATTTGAAAATGCTTTGGAAACGTATTAATATCAAATTATAAAGTGCATATACATTTTGCAAACAGGGCAGTATAGTCAATATAATTTCTTAACAAATATATTCAGAATTAACATTGTTAAATGTATACTTACAAGGCAATACACCTGTCAAAAGTCCATCCTTACAAATTTCTTTGGCAATCATAAAGTCAGCGTCAGTGTACACAGGTCTTATCTTCATCAAAAGCTTAGAAAGAATTGAAGACATTTATCACTTTGTTAACAATTAACCAAGACTTTGGATTTTCAAATCGATTGACACATCGATATGAATAAAAAATTAATTCAAAAAAGATAATGGTGATGTATAAGATCATCCATTAAGCTAGATATTTGCTGGAAAGAAATGAAAACAGATTGGCTCTCAAATATAGGACATTACACTTTTCCACTCCATCTATAAACGAAATGCTGAATTGGGGGAAAATGACTATATTTGACTATTCTGACTATTGAAAAACATCTATCTATAAGCCTATATCAACCACTATATACCGGTATTACTGTTCATGCTTAATTTTGTATCTAACTTCAATATACGCAGGTATATTCATTGATATTAATTGAACAAAACTATCATTGCTACAATAACATAACACAACAATACAATGGGAGAGGACTATCTAAGTTTTTAGAACTTGTGTCCAATCCCTTTGACACATTGTCAATAAAATTTGTTCAAAACAAACAATACATCATTACAATATCAATATTTTGATAACTATCAGAAAATTAGTTGTTATTTTTGTGCTTCTCTTTTCTTGCTCATTTCTTGTCACTAAGTGTCAGATCAATTAATTCATTTTTTTTTTCAAATTGGATACCTGAAATTCTTTTCGTACAATACTCTGATTGGCTGGTTCATCAGTCGTCATATTCCCGACCTTTTTGGAAAAGTCTTCTATAGTGCTGATGTTAACTGGCGACTTAAATATTTCATTCAAAGCAAGAAAAACCGTCATGTACTGTTCCTGAATTAGGAAAAAAATATTCTGATAAAACTGGATCAATAAAAAAAAGTACACAATCTGTCTTGTCTTCTTCAAATCAATGAGTCATTTATAATGAATTTACAAAGAAGTACCTGTGTCATTATGTTACATTATCGAAATATACAATGCATACTGAAAAAAAAAATGAACAGAGAAACGATATGTCGTCACAGCCGATCTCTGATTTAAAATGAAGAAAAGAAGTGGAAGTGGTAGGGGTCCGAGCCCCAAATGCCCATGAATCACATGACCTGAAAGGTTTCCTTTATCTCTTTTTTGAGGGTGTATTTGTCCATTTGATTATATACATTGTGTTTTCTGTTCATTTTTATTTGAATTCCCTTTGCCTCTGACTTTACGTAAGACTTTGTCAAAGGCTGTGACGTCATCATTTATCGGCACTGACATAAAAACGTAGCGATTGTGAACATGAATTTCAACAAAGTGTTTGGAGAAACATTGCCAGTTTAGTCTCTGTCAGGATGATATATTTAAGATATAAAAGGCCAGAAAGTATTTTTGCAAACCTCTTCTTAAATGAAAGTAAATGAAAATTGAGAGTTTTGCCGATTTTCTAATTTTCTTTCACACTGTGACAAAATATCACATTGATTTATTTTTTTCACACTGTGACAAAATACCATTTTTTAAAACAAATCATTACAGTATTTCACTGTCGAAAATGCAATAAAATACAATAAAATGAAGTTAAGAAATGGATAAATTAAATGAAATAAATATTTAAAGAAAAGGGTAAGAAAAAAAAAGATGCATTCGTATAGAAAGATGTAGAAAAAATCAAGAATCTAGGTACATTGTTTGTTAAAAAAAAATTAAAATTAAAATTAAAAAAAAACTTACGTAGGTTTGGACCATATTCATCCTGTTTTCCCTCATTTTCTTGACATATTCTGCTACGTTGACTTTCTTTCTCTTTCGCCCTTTTCGCTCCAAAGCATCCAAAGCTATATACGTCCCCGTTCTACCTATCCCCGCACTATAAGATAAAACAAAATCACGTGCACATAGACATTTGTTGAGGCCAGTTTCTAGATAGGGTACATATCCACTATTGCCACTAAAATTTATCGGCCAAAATGTACCTGCAGTGTACAATTGTTGGAGGGTTATTCTGACTGGATCCAGTTCTTGTCACGTGATCAAGAAAGACAACAAGACATAGAGGTTCCGGTGTTCCATGGTCTGGCCACGCCGTGTAATGGTACTGAGTCACCGATCGTGATTCCTTCGACTACAGTAATGAATGGAATAATTCTTTTTTTGTTTTTTTTTTTGTTTTTTTTTTTTTTTTGCACATTGGAATTAAAAAAAAGTAAAAAAAAAAATAATAATAAAAGAAATTAGATATACAAAAAAAGTTTGTTTAATTGTAACATTAAGTAAACATTTTTCCCACTGAAAACTAAGTAAAGTCTGATATTTTTATGTAGACTATGGTTTTTTCTGTTAAAGCATACTTCACTGTGCCTTGCTGTCATCTTTCGTACGATGTAGAATGCGTATTCTTTTTCCTCCATCAATTTCACATACACCGAACCGTAGTTGACGTTCTTATTTGCATCCGGCCAATACTGATGGCATTTGACCTGAAAAAAGTCGATATATATAACATCTAATTACTTCTAGATTTGCTTGGGCAGACACTATTGTAAACTCACTCAAATATTGATTGAAACGAAATAGAAAACATATAAGGGAAAACCCAAAGATTTAAGCTTTGAATTTTATATTAGAGACTTGAAGTTCATTACAAACACATACTTTAGCTCCTTCTTTCAAGTTTGTCAGCATGACAATGGAGAACACATTTTCTTGCCAAACCATCTCCCAAAAATCGTCAAGTGTATTCGGCTTTGGGCCTAAACGAGAAATATAAACACCAAAAACAACAGACGCAAAAATTGCCAGAAAATATATACCTGTATCTTGATGAAGTTGGATCAGAATTTAATGGAGATTGGTGTTCTGTAATTGTCCAATAATAATGCAAAACAGAGATGTACTTGTAAATGCACTTCTCATTATACCTGTTTGAGGCTTATTTTGGAAAAGTAAATAAATAAAACATATAACGGGTATTGAAGCATAAGTACCTTGTGCTGCGATATACTCTCTTTCTCTCTCTGCACCCTTTTAAAAAAAAGAAGACAAAACTCGGTATTAAAGAAGAAGGTATGGTTTTACCTTTATTGTGCCCTAAAAATTTAATGTTTTCAAAAAGTTTTAAAACTGGCTTAAATATTAGTTGAGTATATGACTGTAATAAATCAGGAAAGAATATAGCATGATGGAGTACCATTCTAGATATACGACGTCACTAATTTGATGCATTTCTCTATTTAAACAGAAAAAAGCCTTAAAATGACCCATTTCAAGGGTTATTTTCCTTAAGAAAATAGTGTCCACAGCCGTCGCCCACGTTAATATTTAGATATGTTGTGTAAAGTTCTTTGAAAAATCACATATCTCAAAATCTTTATGGGCGATGCCTGTGGACAATATTATCTGAAAGAAAATTCCATTGAAAATTAATGTCTTCTGCAACTTTTTAAGAAAATACGGGAAAATGCACAAGTTTATGACGTCACAATTAGCATTTGGAAGGTCATGTGAGAAAAAAGATTTGTATGATCTTTCTGCATGGAATTCCAATAATTCAAAAAGCTTGAGTTTTAATTTTTTACATCACTTTTATTTTTAAGAAAAACACAGGGCAAGATTTGTATTGAAACCGTACCTTGTTCTTTCAGGCATAGGTCTCTAGAGGTAACGGATATTCAATTTGAATAGAACAAACCGTCTGAAAGTGTTGAACCTTCCTTAAAGAAATTGATTTATTGTACAATTCTATCCACTCTATATCATTTCACTACATTATCATGTAATTACATGTCTTTACCTCAATATAGTTTGCATTGATGTAGTCGGATCCTGACTCCGTTCTTAATATAACTCTAGAATGGTCATCTATAATGAAGGAAAGAGTTACATGCTTATTCTAAAATTCTTCATAATTAAAACAAGAGCTCCAAGGGCCTTAACGGTCACCTGAGTATAATACAACAACTAAGAGGATCCAAAGAATATAAAATAAACTGGTAGCTGAAGATTTGTTGCCCAAAAGCAAGCGAAATAGGATGATCAGGATCAATGAAATAATTAGTCTAATATCTAGTAACAAACTCAAACATTAAGCTCTAATCTGTCCCCAATTTATCAGTTTCACCATGCAGACTATTAGCAAACTATTAGTGTTTCTGTATTATTTTTAACCCCGTTGGCCTCTTTTGGTCTTTGAAGAACATTTTGAAAAGTTATTTTTGTCCATTTTTTCTTCTATTATTTACAAGTCTATCTGATCATTAAAACTATGAAAGTAGTTTTTGTATTATACAATAAAATATTTTGCATAATTCTCTTATTCTATTAACTTTTCAAAAACATTATTTACAGTGATTAATTATCAAAAGTGAATTGCAAAGGGGAATAACTTCTCTCAGTGAAATACAAATTCTGGCCAGGACCAGAACACCTGACCAAATGGTCCAGATGTTTAAAAATCTGTTACATGTAAAAGTATTCTTCCTCATTAAAATTTTTACTTTGTTTGCCTTTGATATGCCAAGAAGCAGAGAAGATTTTCAAAGAAACAATGCATTTTCACTACATGTACCATGACTACAGATTCAACACAGCCCTACCCTAACACCAAAACCCATGACCCAGGGTCATGAATTTCACAAATTTAGAAGAGGTATCCCCATCATAAATTTGGAAGAGGTGCCCTAATCATCATAATTCTGCACTTAGCTAACGATTATCAAAACAATTAACACATTTTCACTTATGTTATCAATAGAACCCCCCCCCCCCCAGTGAGAAACACAAAAGCCCCTCATCCTGGGACCACAAAGTTTTAAAAATTTTATAAGAAGTACTCTTATTCATCATAACTATGCACTTTGTTTATCTGCTCAACACTAAGGATTAGACAGGATTATTTAACAGAATAAATGCTTTAACTCTACATAATTATAAAAGGGCAACGCCCTAACATCAGAACCCCTGACCCAGGGGCCATGAAATTCACAATTTTCGAAGACGCACTTTATAACACTTCAGCAGCAAAATTTTATACGTCACAAAATAGTGAATGATCGTATAGTGGTATAAGTCTTTTATTATAATTCACAAGAATAGTATAGTAAATCCAAATTCGGGGAAGTCAGAGAGTGTTGCTTAATGTTTTAACTCAAAAGAAAAATCGGAATTAATCAATTCTCAAGGATTTGGGGAATTTATATATTTGGTAAAGACAATTAACAAAAGTAAAACTTATGTCCATTGGTAGTCAGAGAATCTCGTGTGTGGGTACAAAATCTCGTCTCCAGGTACGCTTCAATATGGCGGAGGAAAAAAATAGTCCATGGACTGCCCCCATCTGATGTATTCATGGTCAAAGAGGGGATTAATTATGAAATGGTCACTTAGGGGTGACCGTTTATTGTAACGCACTTTGGATATAAACCATCCTCTCTACGTTCCTGGACTCAGAAGGTCTGGAAAAGTCTTGGCCTCTGGCTGGAGATTCTATCTTCTCACTGGCAATAGTTAGGGAATGTTGACCATTCAAGATGACATTAATTAGTTTGTACTTCTGATTTAATTATTCTTTCCTGGTCAGAGGGACAGAAAGGCTGAAGAAAGTTTTATTACCTACTAATAAAAGTGCTTCGTAGTAAACCACAAAAACTAGTACTTGCCCACAATATATAAAAAAGGTAATGATTTGCTCTCTCTCTCTCTCTCTCTCTCTCTCTCTCTCTCTCTCTCTCTCTCTCTGACTGTCCCCTTCAGAAATAACATTTGATGGAAACATGAACATATTAAAGTAGCGGTCAAGTTAACCTGGAATTTACACAAATATCGATACAGTTATATAAAGAATATTCACGTTTAAAGTTTATAATTCTATGTCATATAAGTTCTATTAAAATAAGTTCAGTCTCCGTAACCAATTATAAGGGCTATTTTGTTACAACTCTTGCTCATCATTACTATGTACTTAATTCATCGGCTTAATACCCTGGAGCAGAGGAGAAGATTTTCAAAGAATTAATGCATTTTCACTGTATAATCAATAGAGCCCCACCCTAACACCAGAACCCCTGACCCTGGGGCCATGAATTTCACAATTTTGGAAGAGGCACTCTTGCTCATCATAACTATGTACTTAGTTAGTTTGTTTAATACCAGGAGCAGAGAAGAAGATTTTCAAATAAATATTGCACTTTCACTATATGATCTATATAGCCCCGCCCTTACACAAGAACCCCTGATCCTGGGGCCATGAATTTCATAATTATAGTAGAAGGCTCACTGCTTACTACAACCATGCCAATAGTTAGACTGCTTGATGTCCAGGAGTAAAGAAGATTTTTAAAGATTGCATTAATTTTGGTAGTTTTAGCCCCACTCCTCAGGCCCCAGGGGGACAAGTACCCTGAAATTCATATTTTTTGTTCCCCTTCACCCATAGATGCTATATATCAAAATTGGTTGAAATTGGTTAAGCGGTTTAAGAGAAGAAGCTAAAAATGTTAAAATGTTAAGGCACGACGCACGACGAAGGTCGAAGGACAAAAACGGATAGCAATAGATCACTGAGTGACTCGTGTAACCTAAAAATCAAAACGACATACGAAGGTGTGTGGTAAAATCGCGGACATGTCTAAATTAAACAAAACATGTAATCATAGCTGCTCTCTAAAATTGTTAAAGATCATCGGTGAACTTTTCATCAAAACATGTAGAGCAAGGGAGTTTCAATAGATATATTCTCAAATATTCAAAATATGACATTTTTTTATTGTGTGTTCCATTGCTTTACGGTACACGTATTACTCCACTGTCTAATGCAACGTTACTGTTCATCTCGTATAGAAACTTTGGGTCAGCACCACTCAAACTCGGGAATTTCATCATGCAAGCACTTGAGCTCCTCTTAGTTCCTCCATGAACGGGCAAGAGACCTATCTTGCACATACATTACGTACTCTTCCCACGTCAAACTAAGAAGGAAATCTTTGACGGTTTAAAATGATAGCACATTTCATTATTTTGAGTAGCATTTTTACCGCATCGTTTGCTCTTCCAAGGGACTAGATGAAAGTGTTTTTTTTTTTTATCCAATTCGACTTGAATAAGGTATATCTACTTATATCTAGTAAAAAGAATCTTTTAACATTGAATGTCTGTAGAGGTGTAATTTTTAAATCTGCATTAAACTGACCTGCTCTTTAGTGCGCCAAAGCATCATTAAATTTAGCCTTTTCCGTGTGTTAAGTTTACTATTTTTCTCATTTAAAGGAGCAGACTGGTGTATTATTGTGTGAAAACTACTATACAGAAACTCTTTAATTTTAAACCATATGTACCTTACATTGACATCAGTATACATGTACGTGCCAAGTTTAGTGAAAATCTACCGTATTGTTATTTTTTAGAGACCATCTCAGAATTCAGGTACATTTACTATAGGATTATACAGGAAAATACAATTTTTTCGCACATCTGAGCAAATTATATAAATGCTACTATAGACTTTTTGCTCAAATTATATTATTTGATGAGTAATACTATATTGCACATTATACATGTATGCAAGAAACACGAAATTCTACTGTCTAGTTTCCTGAGGGGGCATCTCAAAATGTCAAAATTCATATTTTCTTGTTTTTATGGCATACTACAAAACATGAAAGATACCACATATTTTTATGAAAGATAATGAAAATGATTGTGAGATTCTCGATTTCCTATGTTGAAAATTGCAAGAGCATCTATCATATACTTTTTTATTTTATGACATATTTAATGACCCCTCTTAAAGAACGTTGGTTATTCATAACGTCAAAAACACGTTATTACGACGTCTATCTACCTATCATTTGCAAAATCGTTTAAAAATTCAGTTATTTAAAAACGTAATAAGATTTTTTAATCTGATATTTTCTAAATTTGTAATTTTTTATCAATTATGTAAAAATTACTTCTTTAAAAGAGTAGGAACGCTTTATTTTATTATGCTGCGCGAAGTATTGCGCAATGAAAACTCCAGTCAGTCCCCTTAAAATGCTCGGAGAACTGCCAAATATCAAGCAAATCATTTAATTAAAATGATTTAAAAATCGACGATAAAATTGACAATGAATTAAATTATAACAATTTTAGTACGACTTATTTTATATTTTAATTATGAAAAAATACTTGATTGCACGTTTTCTGTCAAAATCCTGATTGATTTTTATTATGTAAAATTTGGCATTGCTTGCTTAAAGGTATGTCAGTAATTTTGGCGTAATTTATTTTAGTGGTCATATGGTCTTATCACTTTGCAAAAGAACACTAAGAAGAATTTTGATTTTCTTAGCGATCAAAATTTTAGTGGGCTATTACCAAAACGCTAAAATAAGCCAAAATTAGCACCTCGCTAAAATAACCTGCTATACGGTAATTGAATTTCTATTAGTCATATATGACATTATGAATGTTTGGTCTGCAATATGAGCAAAATGCAAGAAGTCCTAGTTTTAAATGCGCCAACGTATTACTAAAAACTTACAGGGAAATGTAGTTTTATATCTATTTTTAATCACATTTTCCTCTCTCTTTCCAGCGTCACACTTGTATAGTTCCCCGTATGGTAATGTCTGCGGTGAAAAGAAATAATATCTTCTATAATCTTTATCCACATGCATAATGCACTTTTTTTCTTTCTTATAGATGCCGTATCAAAAATGTTAACTTTACGACAAAATTTTAAAATATATAATTTACCCATACCAACTTTATAATCACAATTTGATAAATTTTCAGTTTCTTTCTCACCGCATATTCTCTTTGAAACCTGTCATCTTTATCCTTTCTTTTCTCAGCTATAACTGATTCCAGCTGATTTAGAGGTATGTCTCGAATTGTTGTTTCATTTGCGTAAAGGTCCCCATAGGGATTCTCCGAGTGTATCAACTCATCTTCATCAACATCAGCATCTTCACCTTTCTTCTTGCGTCTAGAATGTTTGCGATTTCCACTATCTTTGTGTTTACTTCTTTGGTGTTTGGTTGAGGTCAGAGGTTTTGAATCACTGGAATCTGTCCCCTCAGCTCCAGTCTCGGCTGAAATCAGACAAAAACCTGCTAGTTCATTCGAGGATGTGATTAATGTACAAAAAAGACTACGAAAAGGAATTTAGATACTTACGATGTTTAAGTCTTTCAATTTGTTCTCTTCTTTCTTCCTGTAGACTGCGCCTGAAGCATGAAAAGTTCTTGGTCAAAGCAGAACTACCTCTTTAGTTTTAGAAATTAAAAGAAAAACATGTCCCTGTATTCTAGGGATTAGCAAAATATAATTGTTGTTTATTTCAAAGAATGTATAAAGCAGATCTATTTTCATATATATGTAAAATCATGTTAAAAATACAGCCAATGAATGAATTACATTCTTAAAACCATAACTAGAACTGCAATAAGAATGCTGGCAATGACAAGACCAGATATCCCTCCGATGACTGAACCAAAACTGCTAATAACATAGTTCTGTGAGGGATTCTGTAAATAGATTGATATAACGACAGAACGTTTTATCAGAAGAATAATCACAAATGTTTTGTTTTTTTTTCTTTATTTAGCTAAGATATTTTTTTTCTTCATAAATGGATATGCAAATTACTTATATCTAGTTATAGAATATATTTCATTTGTGCTTAAACAGTGTAAAAAATAAAATTTATTTCATATTTTTTTTTGTTAAATCTATTGAAAAAAAAGTACTCTATTGAAACAAATTTTGAATTCTACAATAACACTGTAGTGTCTTGGAAAATGATTTGTGAAAACACTAGGACATTGTAGGAAAAATATCACCTCTATAATAGGACAATATCCAGTGACAGGGTCACACGTATTATTAATACAGCTGGTGCTACAGTTGTTCAAGCAGTCAAACCCGTATGTGTCCGAGCTACATCCTGAAAATCAGCATAAAAATCCAAAAAAAATTGACATAATAACACGACGGAGCATGACATGGGCAGTGCCGTCGCAGTCCGTGATTGCTACATTATTAGTTCCCTACCGATGAAACCGAAGGGGACTATAGGTTTCCTCTGAATCTCTCCGTCCGTCTGTCTGTCTGTCTGTCTGTCCCACTTGGTTTTCCGCACTTTTTTTTTCTAAATGCTTGCAGATATTGAGCTGGTTTTTTTGGCATGTGAGTGTATCTTGATGAGTTACAGATCAAGTTTGAATTTTGTTCCTCTTCAATGATTTTTGACGGAATTACGACCTTTTCAATTTTTCGGGGTTTTCTGCATTTTTTTTCTAAATGCTTGCAGATATTGAGCTGATTTTTGGTAGGTGACTTTGCCTTGATGAGTTATAGATCAAGTTTGCATTTCGTTCCACTTCATTGATTTTTGACGGAATTATGGCATTTTCAATTTTTAACGGAAACCAGATTACACTTCCCGGTAGGGGACTAGTATTGCTTATGCAATATACTCTCATAATGCTTGTTTATCTTCATATCCGAAAGTTAATCTTCACACTTTACATGATATAAAGACAAGACTAGTGTACTTTTTAATGCTTCCACCACACTGCTTTATTTTCTATTTTTACAACCAATTTGCATATTGCTGATATCTAATGTCATTGCCCATAATTTAACATTTTTTCTTCTAGTATTTTATACAAATGTATTTTAGAACCAAACATACAAGTACCAAACGATTGTTATAAAAAATATGGAACAAATGAATCAGTTTACATTTTGATTCTACATTCTTTCTAGACTTTGTAGTTTTGTTTTGTTTTGTTTTGTTTTTTTTTTTTTTTTTTTTGTTTTTTTTTGTTTTTTTTTTTTTTTTTTGGGGGGGGGGGGGAATGTTGTTGATATTAAAAAGTATAATTGAAAGTAACTCTTTTCCGTGCGTTTTGCAGTTTGACTTCCAAGTTTGAGCAATACTAATTGCAATATCTTTAGCCCTATTTTGGTCAAAAAATAAAAAAAATTCATGTACATTCAGAAAACAAACTGGCAAAAATAACAATCGCAGAATTTGTTATTATTCCAACGAAATTACAATATATATATATATATATATATATATATATATATATATATATATATATATATATATATATATATATATATATACCTTCAGTGCAGTGTACTTTTTTGTATCCTTTTGCACATCCATTCAAACAACTGCCATTGATGTGATGACATCTCGACGGATTTCGACATTTCCCACAACGCTGACTACAGTTCATTCCGTACCTATAGTCTGAACAAACTAGTTGAAAAGAAAACAAAGTGTATGAACTGCATGATTACTTTATGGTTTTAGTGTGCTTGTGTTTTTGTTTGTTTCATTATGTTTTCCCCCTTATTTTATTGTTCTTTATCAAAAATATAAAATAAATATTTAAAAAAAATATCTTTTTTAAAAATGTACCATAAATATTTATTTAACTCTACGTCATTTACTGATAACAATCAACTACATAACAATAACGCAAACATTGAAAAGTATGGCTTTTTGTTTGGTTGTCTATGTTTCCATTTTTTTATTTTTAAAAATAAATAATAAGATTTTTTTTCTTTCCTTGCCTTTATTTGATTCTGTATTCCTTTTCAAAGATATCATTTATTTTCCAGTGCATATCCAGAGGTACACTGATTACATACTGTACTTTTGTAAGAGTTAGCGATATGCTCGTTAAAACTTCAACAAGGAAGTGTTATGTTATACAAATGTAAACAGATAACACTCTAACATGAATAGTGAACTTTAATCCATCAAAAAAGAGTTTAAAGAGTTATGAATCCTATCGTTTAGCATGTTAACATTAGATGACTGACACCTCTTCAGTCTTTATTTGATTTTGTATTTTTCCCATAATTCTCTATATATTTGACCGTTTTCCTTGTCAATGAAATACCTTACTTTAAATATTTTTGTTCTTGCTTGATTTGGCTTTGTCTTTCATGAATATTTTATATATTTTAAGCACTTACATGTATCTATTTGTTTTTCATAATACATGTAACCATACAAATATTACAAAATATATCAGATGTGATTTAAAATTCAATGCCAGAAAGAAAGGCAAATGATTTGACCATCATCAAATCTAATTGAAATATTTGGGGAAAAAAAAAAACAAAAACGAAAGACACCACAATTATCACTGTAAATAGTCTAAAAATGCAGTTAACCATTATTGCATTGAGGTCCCTCCCAGCCGGGCTGGCATCCGCCCTCACATTCTCCTGTTGTCCTCTTACAGGTTCCTGGTAAACCGCAATTTACGTTACAACTCTCATTACAGTTTTTCCCGAAAGTTCCATTCCAGCATGCTGTAATGAGATTTAAAATACATTTTAATCCATACATCTTTGTCTTTTCCAGGCTACGAAGGGCGATCAAAAAGTTCGCGAACTATCTCTATATTCACAAAACCACAATGCAGACAAGAATGAAATTTGGCATACATATAGTCATTCACATGTTCTATAGAAAGCATACCATATGTAATTTTTTTCTCCATGTTTGTGACGTCACAATGTAAAAATGACGTTAATATATAGAAGACTTGTGACAAAAAATGGTTGACTCAGTCGTACTCGAGGAACGAAACGGCTGTAAAGTTTAACGTATATCTGGGAAATTTCTTTGCAGTAGCATATAATAATTTGTACAAGGTTTTTGAAGACAAAAAAGCTTGCCAGAACTTCAATCATTAATTGGATTTGTTGTTTGAGTGAAGGAAGGGAGATGGTTGAAAATGATAATTGTTCTGTTGCCCAGTGGAAGCAAGCTGGGGAAGAGATGTGTCCTTAGTTGAGCAATTTGTTATGAAAGATCGCCAAGTTACGGTTAGAAAAACAGTTGAATATCTTAACAATGATATAATTATAAAATCCCTAAAATGTCGTTTACTTTAGACTTGAAACATATCAGATATGATAAAATGAAGGCGTCCATACTTTATCCACACTACACTGGATAAACGACGCTCTTAAGACAGATGACTCGGGTCGTGATGGTCACCATTCTCATTCTGGGAAAGATAACCTTATCCACCCATTCTATTGCCGAGATTTTGGCCATTTCTGACAAAAGGACTGTTCTTGTTATATTAAAAAAGGCATGGTAAGAGATATAAGACTCGGAAAAAATCTTTTAGCTTCTGTGAACAGAAAGCTATAAAGCATATCACGTGACAGCCTGGATCACGTGATTTGCGCATGGGCAGAAAGGTTTCAGATGTGCATTAAAATTAGAGATAATTTCTTTATAAAATAATGAACATTAAAACCTAATTTTATTTCTTTTATGGAAGTAATTCAATTAGTTCGCGAACTTTTTGATCACCTCTCGTATGTGACATGGAGATGTAAATTGGTTTGTGATCCTGTCACTTGTACTAATTAGTATGCTTTTGTTTTATACTAAATTTTACTACGGAATGTTCTGACTACCTAATACGTACCTAGGGCACATGGCGGGTGAAACCGGTCAACAGAGGGTGCTTACTCCTCCTAGGCCCTGATCTCACCCCTTGAATGTTGGGATTCATGTTTAATGCCCTGTTCACAGATTTGTAATGCTTGTAAATTTTCTTTCAATCGATCCCTGTTCGTTATCTTCACCTTTTTCGTGTATCACAATTACTGCATTTGTCAGAACATTATTTTTCCATTCAAACAAACTGAACAGACTAAGAAAAACAATGCAATGTTATATTTCCTATAACCCAAAATTCCTTTTACATTTAACCGTCATTAGAATTTGTTTACTGAAAATGTTTATTATGAAAAAAGAAATATTCACTAAAATGAAATATATCAAAAGTAAAGAAAGAATGACACAAATCTCATTTATTGAAAAGAAATACTTCAGTTTTAAAATAAACAAGTTGAATAATTTGGCTATTTATCATAAGAATGATATGCAATCGTTTGTGTTTTCTTGAGAGTGTGACTATTTCCACTTAAATTTTATGTTTACGTATTCACCTAATTAAATCATATGATTCCTATTCTTTAATCGGGATAACACGTAAATGTGGACATTGCTAACTTTAATTTCTTATGCAACTTTTATATTTTAAAGATCTAAATTTCATGAAAACAAACGATTCTGCATAGTTTGAACATTTTTATGTCAATGTTAATTGCATGATTTCTTTTACGCAGCCGCTCAGAATCATAAAGAGCATCAATAGAGTATCGGAAACTTGTTCCTTTATATTTGATATTTTCCCTCTATAACTAGTCCATAAAAGTTTTTTTTTTAACAGAATTTGTTTGTACTTACGTGTTTTGCATCTATCTCCATAAACCCCGATGTCACATCCGTTTGTACACGTTCCGTTGACACTGTTACAAGTCTCTCCGTCACTACAGTTACCACATTCCTCCTTACAGGACTCCCCATAGAAATTTTTGCTACAGGCTGAAGTCAATATATATATATATATATATATATATATATATATATATATATATATATATATATATATATATATATATATATATATATATATGTATGTATGTATGTATGTATGTATGTATGTATTCTAGTTAATAAATTCCCTTTAAATTCTGTCAATAGCTGGTGAATCAAACAAACAACTCGTAATTTTTTTTTTTTCAAAGTCCTAAGATCACCTTTCCTCTGCGTTTAGAGCATCATTAACATTTGAACAAATTTGAATACGAAGCAGCCACACTTTTGCCCGCGTGGCGCAGTGGTAAGAGAGACTGCTATTGAGTCGCGGAGTAAGGAAATGGTCCTTACGTCGCAGGTTGGAATCCCATTGTGGGAAGTTGACACTGGTCCTTCGGATAAGACCCTATAAACCGAGGTCCCTTGTTGCAGTAGGTGCTGGCAAGAAAAAGATCCTTCACTGCCCATTGACCCTGAGTGTCGAGTTTATGTCAAAAATTTGTAGTCCTCCACCGGCAAGTGATGATGTCTCCATATGAGTGAAAAATTCTCGGTAAGGACGTTACAACAAACAAACTAACAAACGAAGCAGCCATAAGAGCTCCGGTAGTAATATTCCTCATATATAATATTTTTTTGCCCATTTACACGCCCCTGTCTCTATGTCACAATATCGACATTTTTATCACGACAAGGGAGGAAGCATGTCGGTCCATAATAACCCTAAATATGAAATTACGTTTGAATTAATAGTTTCAGATGTGACTTGATTATATTAACTTACGTAATTCACACTGATGCCCTTGGTATCCAGGTTTACACCCCAGACAAGCACCTGTCTCTATGTTACAATAACGACAGTTGGTATCAGGACAGGGACGGGAACAATCTGATCCATAATAGCCTGTTTCTCTGCAACCTAAAATGTACAAAATCACAGATCCCAAAACGGAAATTTGCATCTTTAGTCTATTTTAAAATGACGTATCAGACGAAAATACAACTGTTTTCTTGAGAAGATGCAATCAATAAATATACAATTAGTGATGCTAAAAAGTGTTACTTATGGATGATAATTAAACAAAGAAAAATAAGGCCTATGTAATTATGAGTAGATCAGGAGATATATTATTTCTCATTCCATATCAATTATTACACCACCTTTAGTCTAGTAATACGACAACGCAAAATTTGGCTTTTTTTTTGTTAGAAAGTCCCTTCACTAAGAATGATAGTAATAGTTTAGCTGGCAATTTAATCCCCAAAAGATTTTTTTTTTCATACATACACTTTGAATGCAATATAAGAGACAAGATAAAAAAAAAAATCTTTCACTCACTGTTCTACAATATAAAAAAAGAACAAACATAGGTACAGTACATTATGCTTTATACATGTGTTTAGATATTAAACGCATGTATCACGCTGTTCCGCTACGACGTTATAATGACCTTGTCTTTAAATATAAATAATATATATATTGAGACCATCTGTCACATAATTCTACCCTTGTATCTCAAAACTTGAAATATATTAAAAAGAGATAAAAACAAAAGATGCCCATGAGTAATGGTTTAGAAACACCGGATAAAACAGAAGCTAACAAATTCTTTCCATTAGTTTTCATCAGAGAATATCTCATCATCATGTCAAAATCAGATCCCATCTTATCAAAAATCGGACGGAAGCCCTTCTCCTTGCTCTCAACGTAATATCGTCTAAACATCTACTAATAATTATTCAGGTCTTCCGTTCCTCTCATAACACACGTATAGCCCCTTCCTGAAATATTAAAATAAAATTCCTTCTCAGTCGGTTGGTTTACAAAGTAGGTACAAGTGAGGGCGGAGCTTTACTGAAGCCGGTGTTGAATTCCGAAAGAAAGGCACAACCTGTTTCATATACATGTACATTCCTAGGGACCTCGTTTTCTGCACTGATCTCACGGTTATTCAAAGACCTAAAAAGAAATTTTCTCTCTTTCTTTCTCTCTTTCTTTCTCTCTTTCTCTCTTTGAATTGCAGGCCCGTCGATCATTAAAAAAATGACTATGACTAAATATTATTAATTTTCATTCAGTTTCTCATCTCTCAAACCAAGGGCTCAAGTAAGCTTTTCTGTTCATAATTCTTCATTTTCTGTCATCTTTCTTTGTTTTCTTGGTGTAAGCGTTATCGTTGTAAACCTACTTGTAAATTTTTGCATTTTTATCTTATCAAGAATCATGGGGCGATATCAACAAAAATTGGCACAGAATATTCTTTAGTAAAAGAAAGAATCATCATAACACTGCTTTCTCGTCCCTTTTTAGATGCAGAATTCTACCTTTTTAAATCAGAACATTGTTATATTATAGCAAAAGTTGTCAAGCATACTCATAAAAGATTCTTTAGGAGAGACTTTCGATATATAAATTATATCGAATAAATAAAATCGTATACTTTACAGTAAAATCTCGGCCTCACCACTTCAGCTATGTAGGTCATTGTACGATTATTTGGATGAGAAGGCGGAGCGTCCATCAAGCGTGCGATTAGTATGAATACATTAGCGTGTGTTCGAGGTATACTAAGTTTTATGATTAACTGACACCTAAAAACCCTCTTTTTTAGTGCGAGAGACCGACCATACATAAGCATACATTTTTAATATGACAGCCGTAGCATTATTTTTTTCTCTGCTTAATTTACGAGTTATTTTTAAATTGAAATGATTTACTAGAAATTCGTTATTTATACATTAAATACACAATGGAATTTTTATACAGAAACGCGGCAGGATACACTATTTTTTATACTTTAAAGAAACCTTATTTTTTAAAGAGATAATCAACTTAAGCTTATTTCATTTCACTCTCTACCATCGGTTCATACATTCACCTCTGTCGTTGGCTCGCGTATACCACAGTGATAAGCACGAGAAATAGTGCATTTCTTTTAATTCATTATAATTAAATGTTTGAGCTAATGATAGTCCTTAAGGATGGATATTTACCAAATAGTTCTAAAACTATTAGTTTAATTTGAAATAATCCTTAAAATGTTATGTTTTTAACGTTATGTCAAAAATCTTGACGCGAGCCCATTGCAGAGGTGTGTGAGAGAGGAACGAACGACAACTCTGCATAAGAGATTGATTTCATTTATGTGTATAATTTGAATTTATTTCATAGCATATATATGTATAATTTTACAAAATCCGAGTGCTACAACAAGTACACGTAGGCGGTTGAATTATGATATGAAACTTCACACTGTGTATAAAAAATAAATTCGTAAGAAAGTGAAAATCAAAACGCCAATTAAACGTCTGTTTAACGTCAATATCATCGCTGATGGATGAAGAAACATCAGTGTCAGTGTACTGTGTCCAGATTGCATTTTTTCAAATTATCCTGTTTATTCAGACAAGTTAATATGATCTTCCTCATTTAGGAATTCATTAATGCGACATCGTGACGCACAAACGGGAAAATTGACCATAGAATTTTTGCATGACCAGTGCACAATTTGTTCAATTCCTGAATGGTCTCAAGTACCAATAAAAAAATGAATGTCGGTAGACCAAGAATTTTTATGCAATCTTCAAAAAAGATTATTAGAACAATTGAATGTTGTTTACAAGTTTACGCTGACATTAAAAGAGGCGTGACCTTGACATGTACGGTAACAACGACACAGTACACCCAACCTTTGTTTTTCTGGCACTTATATTGTGCAGTCTTTTCTTGCTTTACAGTACAGTTTAAATGTCATATCTTCTCTATACTCATAATTTTCATAAATCTATCGCTTTATGATACAGATAATTTAAAGGAGACACACGATTTTGACTCATTGTGTAACTTAAATTGTCGAAATCTGCTCGTGTACATTTTGATTTTAACAAACTCTCGCCCTGTAGTAAGATAAATGATCAACACGTCAAGATATTTTTATTGCCCTTTTTCATTCGATTGATTTTTGTTACTAATTATCTCAATCTTTAATTATACTTAAAAGGGTCATACAAGTGCATTTTCCTGCTTTTAAACATCTCTGCGAACATAAACTTTTTTTTTACATAATTTAATTTAAAAAAAAAAAAAAAACTCTCAGTAAGGTTTTGTGCCGATGTAAAAATTTAAAGCATTTGCAGTGTCGTCAGAAGAAACCTGCAGCTTTCCTCCATTCAAATTAGGGGTGCATTTTGTGCAATTTTAAAGTATTCATTCAGTAAAGATATAGTGACTCAATAGCAGGCTCTCTAACCATACAGGTCTTTTTAGCCCTCCGTACTTCAATTTCTTTCCCTTAAGGTTTTCTTCAATTGAAAGTATGCATTTGTGCACTTGTAACCAACAGTTTATTTTTCTAAAGATATGGTTAACTGGTGTTTTTCAAATAACGGTTGATAATATTAATGACAGTTTTAACGGAAAAAAAATCTTTTATATCTTCCGAGAATCAATGAACGTAGTGCTGATGTTTGGGAACAAAGGCAAATGTATAATAGATACCCACAGTAATTTAAATTCAAAAACTCTGTATTAAATAGACACAGCGGTAAGTGAAAGCTATCTTCCACAGGCATCCAATATAAATTGATAGATACCGAAAAAAAAAAACAAACAAACAAACAAACAAACAAAATCGACTGAAGTAGCGCTTAAAAACAAGTATATTAAAAATCTTAACACATCTTAATCATAAAAAAGTTTTCTCCCAGAATTCTAATTACCCATTTGAAAATAATTTGACCATCGATAGCTCCCAGACACTAGACGTAAAGTGATTAGATTTGAGTCATGTGTTCAGTGCTTTGTTATTCATGAGGACAAAGACGGGTTGAAAATGGTAAATAAGGTGCCTTTACTATAGAGAAAAGTACCCGTGATTTTGCACCTTTTTGGAAAATAATAAATGAGCGCACGACTGTTTCAATTTCTTTCATGAATGTAAAGGACTAGTATAATTTTTTACATTGACCGTATTTACGACAACTTGAAACACCCATGCGCTCATATATATATATATATAAAGGTTTGCAAAATGGGGGTGTGGCCTAAAGTCTATTAGAAATCGATGTAAACAACGTACCCCTGCTATATTAATCAGATAAATACCTAATATCAATGCAATGGAGTAAAAATTGAAATTGAAAATAATAAACTACAATGATGGAAAGATTGAGGCAAAAAAAAATGTAGAAAATCTGTAATTTATTTTCTTGTAAATTATCCGGGGGGGGGGGGGGGGCATATTTTGACGTTTAAACGATTCATTCTTTTGTTCAAATGAAGGGCCACATCCTCTTCCAACAGAAGATAATTCAGAAATATATGTAGTAAAAATTAGATGGGGTAATTTGAAAATAGTTCTATCAAGAACCCTGGACTAGAATGAGAAAAATTCCGACATAATATACATTCTATTTTTTTTTCAAATCTTGAATTGGTTGGGGGGGGGGGGGGGGTCTTTCGGAATCACACTGTCAGTCTGTCTAGCTGTCTGTATGTCCCTGAAATTTGCCTAGGATATAATATTGTAATGAAGAAACTGGAAGCTCATACTTGGTAAAAAGGTTGCTAATGATCCGGGGTTGTGTAATGGTCTTGACCCAACGTCATTCCGGCAAGTTCAAGGTCAATGGAAAATGCATCAAAGTTTTGTCCAAGCCATGTATTTGTTATAGAGAATCAATGGAAGCTCATACTTGACACAGGGATACAGGGATTGCTTATCTCAAAAAGGCTTGCCAAGACATTCACCCAAGGTTATTCCTGTCAGTTAAAGACCACTGAGAGAAAAGTGTAAAATTACTGTCTGTGCTATAATTTTGGATGCTCAGATTGATTATGATTCACCGGTTTGAGATGACATAGAATTAAACTTGCAGAAGTTGCAGAATTCCTGCCTGGGATATAAATTTGTAAGAGGGAACGCAGGAAGCTCTTTCTTAAAAAGATTGCTTGAGATCTAGGGTTTGTCCTGACATTCACCCAAGGTCTTTTCGGTAAATTCAAGGTCACTGATAGAAAAAATACAAAATCATTGTCCAGGTGTAACTTTGTAGTCGAGAATCATTGGAAGCTCATACTTTGTATAGAGGTTGTTTATAACCTGAGTGTGTCTCATGACTTTGAAAAAGGTCATTTAGGCAAGTCCAAGTCACTGATATAAAAAAAATATAAAATTCATAAAAACGTCTATAATTTTGTAATAGAAAAACATTGCATTTATCTGCATTTCACTGAAAAATTATTATTTTATCATGCAGAGTGTTTAATGGCCTTGACCTAAGTTCAAGGTCACTTAGAACGTGATGTTTTGGACGAATAATCTGATAGAATCTTTCTAAGTCAGTAACATACAGATGAGGTTTGCTCTTAACCAGCTACAGAGTGTGACATGTCTTGACACAAGGTCATTTGGACAAGTTCAAGGTCACTGATAGGGGAACTTTACATTCCTTTACTGTCTTTATACTGTTGAAACATTGCAAGTTGATACCTTTTACAAGATTGTCTATAACCTTAGAATGTTGCATGACCTTGACTCAAGGTCACTTCTTCTTGTTCGGAGCTCCTACGGATGACCTACTCGTTGCTTTGCAACGAGCTTTGCTTTAGTTTCTTATATATTTTATGTATGTCAAGAATAAGAAGTTAGAGGGATTGCAACGGTAATTAATATTGCGTTATAAGCAATAGCTTTTCAAGAAGCTTGCCTGACTAAAGCAATCAATATTTATATAACGTTTTACGTGGCATCTTTTTGGCATGCGGGCTTGTCTAACATTTCAAGATTACAAAATTACAAATCACGAATATTTTTTTTTTTTTTAACATAAATGATATCAGACTCCTTGACCGTCGTAGGGCGAGACATGTTTTGTTGCGAAACGGTCCAGTCTATTCATGGATGTGTACCTAATTGGAATAGACCAGTTTTTGAGTAAACAGGAAAATAAAATATGTAAATGTGAAAACTTAGCAAGTTCACAGCTTTAGTGTTATTTGCCAGTAAAAGAAATGTTATATGTACAATGTGATAAATATACATATTAAAGCTTGAAAATCAGGCTATAAGAATATATATACTTTTTTAATTCATTGAAGCTATCACACCTATTCGAAAGAATATACATTCAAAAAAAAAGTAAATGATGGTGCAAAATTATGTGTCGTGTCCCGCTTTTCGTGGTAAACAAATGGACTGATGGAGAAGTATGGATTACACATACATTCTGTGTTTGGAATTGCAATAAAAAAAATGAATGCATAAAGAACAAGTTTGGCTTTCGAGAAAGCCTTAAATGTCATCTCTTTTACTTCATTAATGTCATAGAATAAACAGTGAAATGTTGCATCATTTTCTCAGCTATTACAGGCAGTAGTATTGCGTTTGAAATATGGGGGGTGGAGGACAGAAAAAAAAAAATCGATGACTTATCTGAACAATTTTTGACAAGGGGAAAAAGGGGCTATCCAAACTCAGCATTTTCA